CTACTATTTTAAGTGCCAGAATCATTCATAGCTGATAACCCTTTAATTGGTTTAATGTTTGACAATAAAGCTACATCTTTTAAACTGCCACAGATGGTGGCTTAATTCACAACTCCATCTGCTGTTTTCCTGTTGCCAATGTTCAATAATTTCCCGCTTTATTACTATTTCAATGTTTTCTTTTAACTACAGAAGCACACTTCATCCAGGTCTGTCTTTTAAATCCAGAACAAGGTTAATGTATTGCTGTATATAATGATACTTTGTTTTGTATACCAGTAGAAGGAAAAGCAAGGTCGCAGTCTATGGTAAATCTAGCTATTGCTCTCAAATTACACACATCACAGGACACTAAAAAATAAACAGCCTGACAGAGAAGCCAATTCCGTCTTTGCCTCAGAAATGACAGGAAAAACCTTAAGGAAATGGCCAGTGGAACATGACACAGGAGTGCCACAAGTGCCACAGGAAACCTGACAACTCTCAGTCCTCAGTCTCTTTTCCATCCTCTCTTGATTCTCATTTCACTGAAACTTTGCTAAGTAACTACCAACAGGCTAAAAGAACACGAAACCAAAAAAACCCACATTACATTTTCATAGCGGTTTAGCATACATAAGCTGAAGAAAACCTTCACTTCATCCATTCAAACATACTGATCAAGGCAATAGGGAGGTGTAGTCTGAACATAAACCTCCAGTTATGGGGCAAGAACTACTGCAAACTAAATAGGGTTAGCCATTCCAAGAGAAATATTTGTTTTAAATGCGAAATAAGGCATCAGTAAACAACACACAAAACCAAAACTAAATACTGCAGCCCTGAAAGCTACATAGGCAGAGACCTTTAGTGTGCTGTTCTAGAGTAAGTGCCCTAAAGTCACTTTTCTGTCCGTTGGCCTTCAACAGAACTCTCAATTGAGCTTCTGTTCTGGGGAGTGACTCTTTAAAAAGGCATTGTTGGGTTCCATGTTTCCTGTTCTTCAGTCAATTCCACATACCTGTAAACTCACCCTGGGATCTGAAAGTCAGACTGGATGTTCTCCGGCTAGCACATCATGTGCCAGCAATGCCCCTCTGCCATGTACATTGGTCAAACTGGACAGTCTCTACGTAAAAGAATAAATGGACACAAATCAGATGTCAAGAATTATAACATTCAAAAACCAGTTGGAGAACACTTCAATCTTAGGTCGATTACAGACCTAAAAGTTGCAATTCTTCAACAAAAAAACTTCAAAAACAGACTCCAACGAGAGACTGCTGAATTGGAATTAATTTGCAAACTGGATACAATTAACTTAGGCTTGAATAAAGACTGGGAGTGGATGTGTCATTACACAAAGTAAAACTATTTCCCCATGTTTATTCCCCCCCCACACTGTTCCTCAGACGTTCTTGTCAACTGCTGGAAATGGCCCACCTTGATTATCACTACAAAAGGTCCCTCCCCCACCCCCCCGCTCTCCTGCTGGTAATAGCACACCTTAAGTGATCACTCTCGTTACAGTGTGTATGGTAACACCCATTGTTTCATGTTCTCTATGTATATAAATCTCCCCACTGTATTTTCCACTGCATGCATCCGATGAAGTGAGCTGTAGCTCACGAAAGCTTATGCTCAAATAAATTGGTTAGTCTCTAAGGTGCCACAAGTCCTCCTTTTCTTTTTGCGAATACAGACTAACACGGCTGCTACTCTGAAACAAAAGATCTTTGGGCCAAATTTAGCCCTCATTCACATCTCTGCAACACAATGGTTTTCAGAGGAGTTGCACTGGTGTACGGGGGTAGAAAAATGGATCAACTACTGGAACTCAAGCCTGATCTACACTTAACAATTAGATCAACCTAGCTATGTCGCTACGGGCTCTGGAAAATGTTGTGCCCTATGCAATGCAGTTAGGTCACCTGAACTCCCGGTGTAGATGGAGTTCTTCTGTTGACCTGGATACTGCCTCTTAGAGAAGCAGATTAAATACATCGATTGAAAAACCTTTTCTGTTTGTAGCATAGCTATACTCAATGATTCTGTTGACATGTGAGCAGCAGCAGAATCCAGTTCACTCTACCAGAGCTTACCACTCTACGGAGTTACAAGGAGTAAAAAGTAACACAAAAATAAAACACACCCTTACTTCTGACACTAGAGCAAGATCTGACTGAATGTACCTGAGGAGCAGATTTGCTGAGCATGAATTTTTACAGTCATTTTTCTGACATGAACTGCACTTCAAAGAATGTTGTGCATGCACAGGGGAGACCAGGCACCCAGCAGCCAAGTCCTCTCCATGCTTCCGAACCCAAGAACGGCTTTGAAAACTGTCCTTTCTAAATTTAGGTTTCCCCTTTCTTCCTTAAGCTTTAATCTCTAGCCACATTGGAACATGTGAATATCAAGAGGCTGGTGATAGTGATGTACAGAATTTCCTTTTCCTCTTTACATTTAGTATAAAAAGTACCAGAAATAGGCAAAAGATGCCCAAGACACAGAGGTGGCAAGACTTTCAAAAATGGGAGCCTAAATTTATGCTCCTCTGTCCATACTTAGACACCTAAATAAGTGTGGACATAGGAGCACAACTTCCGGGGCTTAATTTCAGAAGTCTTGGTCTGAATGTAGAAGTAAAAAGTGAGCACCTTGGGTGAAGCTGCCACACTCCAAACACTGGATATGAATCCTTGCTGCGAACTGTCCTGACACTGGAGCAAGAGGACTGGTCTTTGAAATATCTCCTCTCCCCTGAAGTCCAGATTTTGAACACTTTCTGCTATGAAGCCTATCTGTCCACCAACGTTCCCTTTTCTGAATCACACGCTCACAGAAGCTATGCAGTGTTTCCTAAGCAAAACTATCTTTGAAACTATCACTGGACTATTAGTATAATCTCCTTGTGAATTATGTTGTATCATAGGGAGGCATGGGAAACGCATGACAACTTCCATGCGATCAATTACGGAAAGCGTAGGTCTAAAATATTCTGGTTAGTTCCAACAACTAAGTATCAAACAGGCTAGAGGTCAGCACTTTTGACAAAAAAAAAATCTAGCTTTCATTTTGCCAGTTTTTCTTTCTTTCACCTGTATATTCCAAATTGACCACTGACTATACACATAATAATTCTAGGAAAATAATGAAGGGTTATGAGAGCATGTAGGCTTCTACAAAATAGAACAGTGTAAGCATGGAATTAAAATATAAGCATTCGTAACACTGCTTCTTCTGCATGTACATACTAGCCACGTGATCAATGGGATTGATGAGATTCATTAACATATGCTTTATATTTTACCCTTTGTTCGTCCACAAAGCTGTAACACAACAGTACAATAAAAAGGACAATTGACAAAACCAGACACCTAGTTGGCCTAGGTAACCACTCTGTTTTCCTTCTCAGGTTTCCTTTTTAAAGGTGACTAAAAACATTACAATTGGTTGGTAAACGTGTACGTGATTAGTACTGGATCATTTGCCTAGATTCTAAAGAGGAAATACACATCTTGGCCCATCTGTTTCAGACAGTGCTCTTTTCTTGCACCACATGAGCCACCTAAATCTTCAATAATTCAGCAGTTGCAGAAAGTCTGTACACAACCCCTTTGTGTTATGGCCATTCTTTTGAGTGAAGCATTGGACATCTTCCATGGAGGGTTTTAAATGGCATTGGGAGACAGAGGACCATATATAGATGGTGAATAGCAAATAAAGTCTCTAGCAGGTCTGAGAGTGGTACTCGGGCACAAACCTGTTACATGTGTTTTCCATTGTACTTCTCTATGAACACTTCAGGTCTTAAAGAGGGACTTTCATACTAGAGAAAGCTTAACAGACTAACTTAAATCTTTCACCTTTCTCAAGTTGTTCAGTGTTTAAATTGGGAAGAAAAAGTGCTTGTTCCCCCATCCCTACAAGTGATGATTTACTCCAACGTTCTCTCCACATGCTGCAGTGAGGGTATGGCATAAATCACCTATCCTCCCATCCATTTCAGAGCTATTCTTCCATAATTCTTACTTATGTTTGCTAGTTACAGTATTTGCATTTAATAAAGATTTTACACCCAACAGCCCATTTTCTCCTGGAGTGAACTCAGAACACTATATTAATGATTGCACAATGTACCAATGATCATGTATTAATAGCACAATGTATTAATGATACCATAAGCAGAGTGATGTCGAAAGCACAGGAATCAGACTTCACTTCAGGTTCTAGAAGGAGAATCTGGGCTGTGAAGGACGGAATTTTTAATGAAACACCCAATAAACAGTTTTCAGTAATATCAAAACATACAAATACTGACCCAAGTACATTTCTCACCCTGCTAATGCTCTTGTTTTTCAAATTTGCTTCAGTGTGAAAGTCTCTCTTTAAAGCATCCTTAGGGTTTGCTTTTACAAACCATTGTATGAAACCAGTGTTTCATCCATTATGTTTGTACCAGGGATGACATGTTATACACTAAGTCAATAGGTAAATCTTGAAGAATGTCATATTAAAATATTTAAAAAAATATAAAAATTCAGTGACCTGATGGCTCCGCTGGTCATAACCATACAGGCATCAGGATTAAATTCAATCTGGGCTCATGAAGGCTTGGAGCACTGGCTGGGGGATTGATTATAAACCTCAGAATTTCACTTAGACTGCATGTGCATAGCCTCATAGTTACCCTACCATACCAATGCTATCTATGCATACTATACCAATGCTGATTCAAGTATCAACCAAGTAAGGTACCTATATGAGGCAGATTCAGACATACCCCAAAGCCACCTGCTTGATGACCCCTTTTGTGGTCCATAGTTCAGACCATTCATTACTACCCTTTGGTTCTGTTTGAAAATCCCAACTCCTAGTATCAAATAGTCAAGAACATCACTGTCTCAGTGAGAGACTCCTAAGCCTCCTGACCAATATTAACTTACACTTTCTCTATGCCACCATTTTAGATTTAATTTGATGTAAGTTAAAAATAAAAATACTCCAACAAACCAAAATTTAGTCATAATTTTCACTTGTATTATGCAGGTTACAATTGTGCAATGGCCAAATATTAGTAAACTCATAGCTAATTGTAAATTAAACTCTGGAAAAATAATGACAGACACTCCAAGACATGTACCATCATTACTGTGCCCCTTCATCCATGGGGACAGTAGGAACAGATAGAAATAAAATAACGGTCTCAAACAACAAATCTAAGCTTATGTTAATATTCTAAATGTCTTTGCCCCAAGTTTTATCTTTTGTAAGATTCAGTTTCACTAGATATGACTGAGATCCCAACGTAAGCTGTGGTTTATGGTAAATGTATACCTAGTGCTGGTGATCCTACCCACGCTGGCTTGCTTTCTGGCCACACAGCAAACTACAGATTAGTATATTTTATCCCTCGTCTTGTGAAAGCATATAGTATGAGAGTATTTATGTTTAGAAAACAAACGTACATACTTATGCTCCAAAATTCAACTGTGACTAAGAATTCTCAACTAGATTTCAATGTATTTTTAACAAAATAAATATCAAGCCTTTTCTTTTTGGACATTTTGCTTTTCCACTCTGAATGAGTTTCCGGATATATTCTTGGATTTAAAAAGGCCATGGTTTTACTTTGCAAACATGAAGATGAAGGGACACTTGAAGCTTCAGCACCAGAAAAAAACGAGGAGGAGTGCAGAGAGTAGCTCCATTTGAAAACACAGAGCTCTAACAATTATTGTTCTGGTTTGTTACAAGTAGCTCAGAAATCCTTTTTTCCCCCCCTAAGTAGTCTTACTGTTATTGTCATTAAGGTGATTTCCCATTCTGGATCACACCTTCAATGTCTCCGATCCTATATAGTTTGTAATCCCGCAAAGCAGCAACACGAGCCACTTCACTAAAAACACTGGAGAGGTTAGAATTCTTGTAATCTCTCATCAAATGTTAATTCAGTCCATCTTGCTGGTAACAGGAAAGCTTTGCCTTCTTCTTTAAGCAAGGTGTCTCACCGTCTACTATTCTTGGTGGGGGTTTTGTGTGCGCGCGTGTGTTTTTTTAGGGTTAGCTTTTGACCTAAAGTTTTATTTTGTTCATTAGATCAAACCAAAGAGGGGCACAGTAATGCTAACAGATTAAGCAGGATAGCCAGCTCTGACAATACCACTTTGGCCTCCCTCTCCCTGCCTCCACACAAATCTCTCTCTTTCTCCTTCTGTTGCTGCTCTTTTCTGAAGTGTAATCTCTGGCGCTGTGGAAGTTTACTCTGATGACAGAAGAAAAACGTTGCTGATTTCCTTTGAGTCTTGCTTCCATAGGAAGCAGATACCTGGCAGATTTGCAAGAGCATGACAAATCAGCTGTGAAAGTTCTGAACTGTTGTCTGTTTCTGTGAGAGTCGCAGAAGCTCCTCTCTAATTGCTTTTATGAGAGATGCCGAGGAGTGACCAGTTTGGAGGTCCTCATTGGAACTGGTGGTGTAGCAGAGCCCCTGTCCCTGAAGGCTGCTGTGTGGAAGATGAGCAGGTGGTGCTGAAGGCTGTCTGGCCGAAGTCCTCTGCATCTGGAATACTGGTGAGGAAGAATATTCTTGATGTCCATACATGTGTGTCTGCAAAATGGAAAAAAAAAAAAGTGATTGTTCCTCCTATTCAAAATAAGATGAGCTTGAGAAAGGAGAAGAAAGGATTCATAGATTCAAGATTCATAGATATTTAGGCCAGAAGGGACCATTATGATCATCTAGTCTGACCTCCTGCACAATGCAGCCACAGAATTTCACCCACCACTCCTAAAAAGACCTCACATCTATATCTGTGCTATTGAAGTCCCCAAATTGTAGTTTGAAGACCTCAAGGAGCAGAGAATCCTCCAGCAAGTGACCCGTGCCCCATGCTACAGAGGAAGGCGAAAAACCTCCAGGGCTAATTTACTTAGATTTTAGTAAGGCGTTTGATACTGTGCCACATGGGGAATTATTAGTTAAATTGGATAAGATGGGCATCAATAGGAAAATTGAAAGGTGGATAGGGAATTGGTTAAAGGGGAGACTACAACGGGTCCTACTGAAAGGTGAACTGTCAAGTTGGAGGGAGGTTACCAGTGGAGTTCCTCAAGGATCAGTTTTGGGACCAATCTTATTTAATCTTTTTATTACTGACCTGGGCACAAAAGTGGGAATGTGCTAATAAAGTTTGCAGATGATACAAAGCTGGGAGGTATTGCTAATTTAGAGAAGGACAGGGATACCCTACAGGAGGATCTGGATGACCTTGTAAACTGGAGTAATAGGAATAGGATGAAATTTAATAGTGAGAAGTGTAAGGTCATGCATTTAGGGATTAATAACAAGAATTTTAGTTATAAGCTAGGGACGCATCAACTAGAAGTAACGGAGGAGGAAAAGGACCTTGGAGTATTGGTTGATCATAGGATGACTATGAGCTGCCAATGTGATATGGCTGTGAAAAAAGCTAATGTCATCTTGGGATGCATCAGGAGAGGTATTTCCAGTAGGGATAAGGAGGTTTTAGTACCATTATATAAGGCACTGGTGAGACCTCACCTGGAATACTGTGTGCAGTTCTGGTCTCCCATGTTTAAGAAGGATGAATTCAAACTGGAACAGGTACAGAGAAGGGCTACTAGGATGATCCGAGGAATGGAAAACTTGTCTTATGAAAGGAGACTCAGGGAGCTTGGCTTGTTTAGCCTAACTAAAAGAAGGTTGAGGGGAGATATGATTGCTCTCTATAAATATATCAGAGGGATAAATACCAGAGAGGGAGAGGAATTATTTAAACTCAGTACCAATGTGGACACAAGAACAAATGGATATAAACTGGCCACTAGGAAATTTAGATTAGAAATTAGACGAAGGTTTCTAACCATCAGAGGAGTGAAGTTTTGGAATAGCCTTCCGAGGGAAGTAGTGGGGACAAAAGATCTATCTTGCTTTAAGATTAAACTCGATAAGTTTATGGAGGAGATGGTATGATGGGATAACATGGTTTTGGTAATTAAATATTCATGGTAAATAGGCCCAATGGCCTGTGATGGGTTTTTAGATGGGGTAAGATCCAAGTTACCCGGGAAGGAATTTTCTGTAGTATCTGGCTGATGAATCTTGCCCATATGCTCAGGGTTTAGCTGATCGCCATATTTGGGGTCGGGAAGGAATTTTCCTCCAGGGCAGATTTGGAAAAAGAGGAGAAAGAGGAGAGAGAGAAAAAGCAGCATGGAGATATGTCTAACCCCTGCTAGTTCCCTACTGCGTGAAAGGGTGATTGTGCTTGTGAGGCACAAAACAAATAAGTTGCTGGCTTGTCCTAAGTTCAGAAATTCTCATTTTCTCTTCTAAGGTTTACAAAAATTTGGCCATTCTCTAATGTCTGATGTATAAATACAGAAAAGATGGGAGAAAGTCACGAAGGACTGTCTTGTGGATAAGGCACTGGACTGGACTTGGTTTAATTCCTCACTCTGCTATCAACTTCCTGTTGGCCCTTGGACAAGTCACTTAATCTCTCTGTGCTTCAGTTCCCCATATCTGTAAAACGGGGATACTAGTACTTCCCTTTTCCTACTCATTTCTGTCTTGTCTATTCAGACTGTGCAATCTCCAGGGCAGGAACTGTCACTATGTGTTTGGACTGTGCTGAGACCAACAGGGTCCCATTTAGTAAAAGTAGAACTAGAAGAAAGACTCAGCAAGAAAAATTTCATTTTTCCACTCTCTAGAGTTGTTTGAGCTACACAGTTTCAGAAACATTGCCTTGGTGTAGGCCCAATTGTCCCAAATTAACAAGGAATACACCCTGTTTTTGTTCTCTAGTGCTATTTGCTTAAGAAACAAAAGAGGGTCTTAGTTTAAGTGGGGAAGGAAAAGAGGGGACCCTAGTGAAGAAAACTGTATTCATTAAGCAAAACAATAAATTCTCTGTAGTCTCTTTTAATGGCTCTCAAACTGTGAATGGAGAAATCTGGCAAAGCAGTTGAAACTAGTAATGGACGACAGACAACTAAAGAATAGGCTTGGGATTTTTGTTAAAATGACAATCTTGAAATCACAGTCATCCTCATAATATGTAGGATGCTATCTTGCACAGCTCATGTATAGTGCAGCTGGGTTTTTTTGGGGAAAGGAGCTTTGATAGGAAAATGAAAGGATTTATGCTGGATAAAGTAGGACTTTTTTCTGTTATAAGTGGTATCCCATCTTGCTTGTGAGAAAGAAACAATTCCAGTTATTGGAAATAAATTAATTGCTGCTTTGATTTTTCAAAATAGAGGCATCCCGGCCAAATGCACTAAAATAATTCTTACCTGCAGTCTTTGGTTAGCAGACTTGACAGGTAGTCTAATTCTATATTAAAGAGGGACAGGTTCTATGGTCCCAATTGAAAAAAAGCAAACAAACTCCATTTGACACTGAGGTTTTACCAGCAAATTAAGCTATTTTCAGAGTACATTAACATTAGAAGTCACTATACGATTCAGCTTCTTATCTAGTAAAAAACAGTCAGTCAATAGTATACTGCAAGAATGGTTTCTTGGTGGAAGTAAAAGAGAATGTTTGCTGACTGTGGTTGTTGATTATTTTGGTTTTAAAGTTGCCTAGATGTTTTTTAATATCTTATTAAAAGCACAAGTGGCTACTGTTGGGCTCTAAACAAGTCTGAGGCTATAAAAACGGAGACACACTAGCTCACAATGCCACCAATAAAATGGATTATGACAACCAGTTGAAGATGATCTACCAGTAAAAAGGCACAAGGATTTGTACAAGTAGTTTTAGTCTATTATTTTTTCCTTTTCTTATCAAAACAAAGATGTTTTCTACCGTGCAGATAAGTATCAAAGTAACATGTACTGCTGTTAAGTGTTTACCCTACTTCACTGATGCTTTCTCAGGAGAATTCTTTCCTCCTTCATAATGCGCTCTATTTTGACACAGAAAGAGTACCAGTGATGGCTGTATTTTACTATTTCCTAAAAGAAATATAACAACCTGTTCTGGCTATCCAAATCGCTCTGAAACCAATGGAAAGCTTCCCACTGACTTCAAAGGAGTCTGTATCAAGCCTTCTTGGATTAGCTTAGTGGAAAAGTAGGATGAAGTGTAGTGACCTGCTTGCTGATTTTCTGTCAGGAAGCAAGACTGAAGACTCATATCTTAGCATATTCCAGAGAAAATCTTCGAGAGTAAAGACTGTGGAAAGCAGAGGTACGAATACTGTAAGGTAATAGAATCCATCACAGGAACACGAAAGAATCAGAACCCACCTGTGTCAACCAGGGAAGAAAATATTCTAGTTCTAACCTTCCTAACTGTGGAGGATAATGTCAGAAATGTGTGTTCATATGAGAGAGACAGAGTGAGCGAGCGAGAGAGCAGGAAGAATGTTGGTGAAAGGGTCCCAAGCATCCAGGAAACATGACACCTGAGGAACGTAATTGTAACAAAGAAAACTTTTAAAGATGTCATCTTTCCAAAGAGGAGAATTGCAAAGATCTGAACTAGCAAAAGAAATCAGTCTGTGAAGATACAATAGAAAAAAACTTCCTTTCTGTTACAGGAAACTGTCAGATTAGGGCACGGATTTAGCATTTTTTTCTCTTTTTCCATTTAATTACACCTAGTAAGAAGGCGGGAAAGAACAACTGCCCCACTGGAGAGGCACACTAGGCATTCACGTGGGCTCTGTGACAAGCAACAGAACCGATGTTCTGTAGGGTGTGAAAAAGTTCCTCCTCTGCCTTGGTGGATCCTGCGCTTATTGGCAGATTTTCTCGCCTCAGAGGTTCATGTCAGCCCTCAGTTTGACCACTTTCATGGCTCAAATCTGCCGTTCACTCAGTTAGCCTCATCACTGGCCAGCATGGGGAAAGGAAGAAGAACAATCCCTGCAGTCTCTGATGATCCACCTAGTGGATCGGGGAACAGGCCAGAGACCTTCCCCTCTGGTGGAACCCACAGTCCAGTTCAACTCCTCAAGTATCGAGTAGGGAGTTGGAGGGATGAGGAGAACCCAGGCCCGCCCTCTACTCTGGGTTCCAGCCCAGGGCCCTGTGGATTACAGCTGTCTACAGTGGCTCCTGTAACACCTGTGTGACAGCTACAACTCCCTGGGCTACTTCCCCATGGCCTCTTCCCAACACCTTCTTTATTCTCATCACAGGACCTTCCTCCTAATGCCAGATAGTGTTATCCTCAGTCCTCCAGCAGCACGCCCTCTCACTCTCAGGTCCTTGTGCCTCTTGCTCCCGACTCCTTGCACACACCACAAACTGAAGTGAGCTCCTTTTTAAAACCCAGGTGCCTTGATTAGCCTGCCTTAATTGATTCTAGCAGCTTCTTGATTGGCTGCAGGTGTTCTGATCATCCTGTCTGCCTTAATTGTTTCCAGAAAGTTCCTGATTGTTCTGGAACCTTCCCTGTTACCTTACCCAGGCAAAAGGGAGCTACTTAACCTGGGGCTAATATATCTGCCTTCTATCACTCTCTTGTAGCCATCTGGCCCAATCCTGTCACAAGGGTTTTAGTCAATGTTATAATCTGCACAATTTTTTTTTTTTTTAGCAAACTGAGAAAACCTCATAAGCATCTGCATACAAACTGTAGCAGTCAGAAAGGAAAAAGAGCAGGGAACATAATTAAAATGTTACCACAGTTGACTAAAGAAAAGGATGTTTGCTGAAACCACATTAGAGCGACGCGTGCCTATTTGAAATGGTAACAAGAGCTGCTAACTGAAAATAAGGGCAATAAAATCCTTTTAAATGGGTCCAGAAGCTTTGAAATGCTCGCTAACCACTCAGACAACTGATGGGAGAAAATCAAGAGACTGTCTATCAAGGAAAAAATTATTTAATGAAATGTATGACAATATAGAGATAACATTGGAAGAGTGTATATGACAGGTATTGATGTCTGAAACAAACAACTGTTTACTTAGCATCTTGCAAAATGGGGCTCTGATCCTGACTGGAGTCTGAGCAATACTGTAATACAAGTAATAAAATAATAAAGATATAATGGTCCATAAGCACTTGAGAAAAAAGCCCTGAAGACCGATAAAACTAAAGTCACTTGAGCTGCCTGGGGAAAGGGCTGAAGGACAAATTATGAGAGCTGTCAAACCAACATGGACCCTGAGATACCACTGGAAGAGGCATGGAACACAGCCTGTAAGATCTCTCCGCTGAGTGCCGGTCCAGGTGTAAACGAGCATTCGGATGCTTACCTTGACCAGAATGGAATGAGTTACTTGGATACCACATTCCTAAGCATGGAAAAGGGGTACAGATAGCTAGCTACATTAGACAAAAAGACCATTTTGGCCTTGTTAGCTATGTTTTGCATAGCATGAGGAGAGTCATATTTACATCCTGTCTGATTTTCAGAGGTGTTGAGCGCTCACAATTCCAACTGAAGTTAATAGGAAGTGCTCTGCATCTTTGAGAATCAGGCCCCAATCCTGCTTAATTTTGTTTTTGTTGAGCCTCTCAATATTTTTATTAAATACATCTATTTTAAGACAACATGGAATATGGATCGTGGTGATTGCTAGTGGGGACAAATGCTGGTGGAAGTACACAAAGGGAGGAAATTCTCTTCCTCAGGGAGGGGACGAATTTGAACAGAGGTGACAACTTGAGAGTGGGGCGGACAGCCAGAGCATAAAGGGGTTATCTCCAAAAGGGTACCTCGAGAAAGCTGGCATAGGTCAGTATGGGTAGAGGAATGGTTTAAAGACCAAGTGCATGAAATGCTGGTGACAGATATCCACATCTTTCCTGAGAAAGACAATAAAGTAGCTGAAACATCACAACGCTTATAGTTTAATCAGAAATTTCATCTTCTGGAAGCAGTATTCTGTCAAATCATGGTGCCTGTCCGGTAGTATAGGTAAACTAACAGATATGTTGTTGACAGGTGAAAGGAAAACACCTTGTCCAGAAATCTCTACTGCTGTACACGACACATCTAATTCTACATTCAGTACCCAGATTCTCTGCCCTTATGAACTGGTGCAGCTCCATAGAAGTAATGGAGCTGTGCCAATGCATGCCAGCAGAGAACCTGGGCCATTTACTTCAGTGCTTTCGACCTGCAATTATCTCAAATTAAAGAAGTGCATGGAAAGAAGACTCGACCTCTGCTGGAGCTCTGGGGTAGAAGTGGTGAACTGTAACCAGAACACAGTGGTTAAAGGCCTTGAGTGAGGAAGCGGTTAGGGAAGAGTGAGTGAAAGAGGTTAGAGAAGCGGAGGTGAAAGAATAGCAAGCAAGAGAGGTTAGAAGAGCTAGTGAAGGTTGGAAGAGCAAGCGGAGGTTGTCAGAAAAGCAAGTGAAAGAATCATCGGAAGAAATTCCAAACAGCAACGAAGGCAAAACCTGAACATATCACTGCTTTAGAAACTATATAAATGTGAAACAGTACTCACTGCATCTCTCCTAGCACATTCATCCTCTCCACGATAGTGGGGCCACCCTGGTCCCCCCGGCTGGCCATGCCCTGCTCTGACTGAGGGAATCTCCACTTGTTGGGCTCCGATTCTGCTAGCAATTCCCACCTGAGTGAGGTGCTGTATCTGAGAACCTTAAAAGCAAATATTGGTTTTTCATCTTTATACACAGTAAGTTTGCAGGGCAGATAAATGACAAGAAGCTAACATATAATTTTTTGGGGGAGGCAGGAAGAAAAAGAAGCTTAGTTTTTGTTTAACACACAAATCAGGATCAGCAGACAGAAGAATACCAATGCAGATTGGAGAAGGGAAATGCATTTACTCTGGTGCAGCTCACTCAAAATTTGGTATTTTTCATTACCTTTCATTGATAACAAACATTACACACACATGCACATCAGACACTGAATGTACATCTCAGGTATATGCCAGTCATTAAAACAAAAATTACAGAAAGCCCTTACAATTTTAAATGCTAGTGATCTGGCAGCAAAGAGGAGACATTTGCTATTGCACCAACAGACCAGGAAGACCCTAAGTCTGCACACTGTTCTCTGTTCCATCCCTCACAGCCACAACATGAATGGCTATCCCTGTATACGGTTTTTCCTGCTTTCGTTTGTGCTTAAAGATTAAACAGTACTGACATTAACCAACGGGAAGGTCAGTACACAGCTTACTTCCTTTATTAACTCAGCCTGGAACCTAAATCCACTCCCTTCCCACTGCTTTCTGCTGAATGCCAGGACAGCTATCATCGTTAATTGCAAGAGAGACATTTAGCAACATGCCAGGTTTACTTTTCCCCAAATTTTCTCTTATGATGGGCCAAAATTTTTCTGTAAATACATTAGAAGCGAAATAACTTTAAAGATCTGCAGATACCTCATTGAAAACTTTGAAAAACAGGAGCTGTTGATACTTTGTGACTGTGTGTTTTGTGCGGGGGTGGGCACATAGACAAGTTGCCTAACTTGCATGTAATATTTACTTTACTCTTCTTTCCTTAAAATAAATTTTTAAAAAATTATAAAACTGATATTTGGTTGTTCTTGTATCTTAATTGAAGGATAAAAACTGGTTAGAGTTCACCAGAAACAAAAACTCGCAGCTGATCAACCATAGAAACTTAAGGAACAGTTTACATAATATATTAAATCATCTATGAAATAATGAACCCCCTCACCACCATCACTTTGCACAATTATAGGGAGAGGAGAGCTGCAGGTCAAAGTTAATTCTCTGGACTACAACATTGACATGTCTAATTTAGAAATTCTTGAGCACTCCTATATTTTCAGTATTTTAATTCCCTCTCTTTTGGAAGAAAGTTAATAGAGACATTTACATGAGAACAGAATCTTTGTTTCTTAAGAGTTCATCAGCTCCTGCCGCTTAAACCCAATATGAAGTTAGAATCTTGTTTGCTATGGAAATTGTCTCACAGTCAGGAAGATGATTTCATGCGGTACAGATAGACTCTTCAGATACTGTTTTTATGCAAATGTCCCTAGTAAGAAAAAAGAAAAAAAAGATGCAGGATAAATAGGCAAAATTTTGCTGAACAGAATATTTTCTCCAGAAGGCATCAGTTACCGTTTAACTTACCACAAAGGAAATACTGCGGTCACCTGTCAAAAGTCAACATTCACTGAACTCTTTTTGAAATGCTGAAGTTATTTCCTATTCTAAGGCTATCTTTTCACTACAAAAAAAAAGGGTTTTTTTAACCATAGGATAACTAATATACATTAGCTATCCCACTGAAAAATCCTAGTGGCACTGTAGTTTTTACCACGAGGCAGCGAGGCTCAGGTCTGGGTATGATGATGATCTTGCCTTGCAAGCTAGCAGTAAAAACTACAGTGCCTTGTCTCCACTAGGGGATAGCTAGCAATAGTTAGTTGGCAGTGAAAACAAAGCCTAAGTTTGGAGTATACCATCTACGGTGACCAGATGTCCTGATTTTATAGGGCCTGTCCTGATATCAGAGGCTCTCTCTCCCACCCCTATTTTTCACATGTGCTATCAGGTCACCATAGTACCACCTGATGGCAAATGATGACTTTTAGTAGGGACAACTATATATGGAACATATTGGAAAAAGGTGTAATATTCCAGTGCACGTTCAGTATAAACCCAAAGTACCTGCAGTGCTTCCTACTGGTCGTGGCCGTGCCACCGATGGCATTTCTTCTGGGTATAGCCCTCTGGAGGAATACTGAACATCAGATTGTTGCTGGTCTGGGTGCATTAACTCTGCAGGCTGAAGGAAACCCGGGCCAAAACTTTGCCTGTTGGCAGAGCAACATAAGATCACACTGACTGATCTTTCCACCGTGAAAATATTTACACTTGTCCCTTATACTTAACCCTATTATGATCACTCATGCGTATTTTTACCGTAGCTGCTACAAAAAGAATTAAACTTCATTACCATAATCCTCTTTCGCAACATGCACTTCATAAGAATAGGCTTGTACAAAGAATAACACAGGAGTTGGAACACAAGCATTTTCATGGATTGGGGTGGCTTCAATCCACTGAGAAGGGTTTGAAAAAAAAGAAAGATTTACTTTTTCGCTGAGGAAAACCATCATCACTACTACCTCAAAGCAACCACAGAACAGGACAGAGTCAAATTCACTTCTAATGTAAGCAGGTTCATCTAACTTCACTGACTTCAGTCGAAACGCACCTGCGTAATTTAGGGACCCAAAAACCCTACTAACTAATGTTGCTGAGTCAGGGGCTCGGATCTAAATCAACAGGAAGAAAGTGCAAAATGTAACATGTATTTGGCAAACAGAGATACCATTTGGTTTATGGGTACTTCCCTAAGTGTTATCAATATTTGTTGTGTTGAGCTCTAGAAATTTTCAAACATCCTCTGATTATATATGATACATCGCACCATGTCACGTTGTGTCTTGACACAGGTCAAGAGAAGGTATGTTAACATCCCTACTTCCTGCAGTGCGATTATTCAAAGGCAGTCTCCACCAATGGTGATAATCATAACTCCACAATTGTTTGCTTACCAAGGGTAGTCTAAGGTGACTTAGCATTAATAAAATGTGTCAGATTGACAGCACTGGAGAGGAAAGCCTATTCACTGAACTGTTATACCAGTGTGATTCACCCTGAGCTGGAGACATCACATTTAAGGATTAGCTTGAACTCCACTGTCTATCGAATTCTCAGTTTCTCTGCCGAGTGTGTCAACATGGTGCCAATCAGTGCTCATTGTGAGAGTGCTCTCTGTGACATGGACTCCCATTTGGCTACACCCTCAGTCCTGCAATGAGCTCTGCAGGAACTCATGTGCCCAGATTGAGCATTTTACAGGACTGGGACCCAAGTTTCTATACTATGCTCATCACCCTGGTGTCTGAGTAGCTTTTTCCTAGGAATTGGGCTATTTATTCTCCCCAGATTTTTATTCCACTCATTAACATGGACCACCAAACAGTCATCTGATTGTATCTCACTCAAGCCATTGCTGACCTGGGGAGCATTTGAACCAGTGACCTACATAAGAAAGGCTCAGAGGACTGCATGACTCAGAAAGTTGGTAATGGGATGTGGAACCTAATAGAGAGAAACCAGTAATTTAAAATACAATACTTTAGTCATTTAGGATACAGCCTAACAAAGAGTTCTGAAAGGTTCAAGAGAAACATTTTTAGTTTGGAACAGCCACTCTCCCCCTATATCCCATGGACTTGTTCCTAATTATCTACTCAGCAACTCCAGAGAAGTGATTTGGAACCAGCTTTCCAAGCATCATGGGACATTAAAATGCATGTCTGAAAGGGGTTTAACGATGCCTATTTGGGGTTGTTATCTGGGGACCAGTAAGAGTGCAACAGTGAGAGAAGCGCCCATATGGTATTTCATGCCTACACCACCAAGCTGGAACCTTATAATCAATAATCTATTAGAATCATTTTAGATGTTTCCTTTCAAAGGAAATATCCTCCCAAGATTACAGCTGAGGGTATTATTTTTGTGCAAAATTATTTTTTGAGGGGGATATTTCCATTACTGTTGCTCTTTCTGCAGATGAAAGAAGTTCATGTTTAACAGCTCTCCTCAAGCCTCCCATTATAATAAATGATGGTTTTAACTACCCTTTACCACTAGTTAGACATCCATGACAGATGATGCAAAATGGATACCTGTATCATTACCTAGCTATTGCTGGTCCTAATTTGGATCAGACAGACTTTCCAGTCCTGGTTTCTATTTTCCAGACCAGCCTTCCATCTGGCTTCTCTAGTTTCAATGGAAAGGTTTCACTTCTAGCCAATTTAATTGGAAAAAACCCTTTGCAAATCAATTTTTAGATTTAGACATTCTCAGCATGCTCAAGATCAGTGTATGTCTATTGCACGATGCAACATTCATACCATGATAATGGCTGCCAAGCCCCAGTATCAGCACAGTAAGTAAGTGACCTAACTTAATACGTTTTGCCTTTCTGCCCAGGTTGGTTCCAGCCCATTAAATATGTTGATTGCATTAGTCTAGAGAAAAGGGAACAATCTGGTTTCCCGATCACTGTTCCGTGCGTTGGCTATTTAAGCCATTGGACTGTGACGTTAATAATGTCGACCTGTAGTGATTTCAAAACACTCCCCTTCCTATTTCTATAGGTTTCTGCATTGTTTCTACCAGTTTCATTATCTTTGTCTTCAGGAAATGAGTGTAACCTTCTTTACTAGAATACAATACATTTCTTCCCTGCTCCGTCACGATGTAAAATGAAGAAGCTGTGGTATTTTATACGGTCTTTAAAGAAACCTTCCTGTGCAGGTCAATGAAGTTGCCGGTTGTTACTTTAACCCTATGGCACTAGCAGGTCCTGGGTTTCCACCACCACCACCATCTGTGGTATTAATGTTTAACTTAAGGAAATTCAACCTGCGGGTACCAAGGGGCTCAGAGCCTTTTGAAAAAGTAATACACAGTGAAGGTACTGCCTTGTTCAAGGATTTGATAACTGGCTACGGAGCCTTTCACTATTAGCCCGCCTCTCTAAATCTGAGACAGGTTGAGAGTGAATGAAAATTGTTAATCATTGATGCCTAGTGGTGATCTACATACAGTGAGCTGGTGATCTCAGTACAGTTTCTAATGTGCTAGTGTCTCAATCACAAAATCATCTTCTCACGTCATGATTGGCCGTATCAGCCAAGACCTCAAAGAGCAAATGTGCATGGGGACTAAATTCCCCTCTCTCCTTCTAGAGGTGATCCTTTCAGTCTCAGTCCCATGGGCAGGGAAAAACTGTCCATCCCCATTCTGCAGATAGAGGTTTTCAGTGCCTAGGACTGTCAGCACAGCCCTTCTCCAAGAACTACATTCATTTTAAAATAAATAAAATAAGGAAGTAATACACTATGTATAAATCAGACCCTGACTTTCTCTTGGAGCTTTGTCCTGAGGAGAATTTGTGCTCTGACACATCTGTCTCCAAGGTTAGCAGGTGATCTTCCCTTTACTGGGGTAAGCTTTTGGGATTGTAACTTGCTCCCACTTGATAATGTATATTGAACATTCGTGATTATATGGGAATTAAAGGGAAAGCCAAATAGTAAATTTGGAGTTGGGAGGGAAGGGAGGTATTTATCAGTTGTAAACCTACGAGGAATAATGTTTCCCTTATATATCTATATAGATTGGGATTTTCTCACCTCCATCTTCATATGAGACTACCACAGCAGGGCCAGGAGAGCCTACGAGATAGATCCCCACTGATTTTATACAGGTGGGCTTGCTACCAGGCCTTCTCTGAGAGGCCCCCTTTGCTCTGGAATTTATTCCCCACTTGGCCCAAAATAAATTGAATCTCTTAATCTATAATGCATGCAGGGAAGACCATTTATTTACAGGGCTTTTCAAGAGGGCAGAGGGAATGGACAAGAGGGAGTCTTTGTGTGGAGTGAAGTACATTTGGTTGCTCTGATTTACTGTTGGTTAATTTAATTTTTTTTATTATTAACATCTGACATTTGAGCATGGGCAGTGTTCCACTATTCATTCAGCATCTGGCACAAACCTTAATCTCCCCTAATTACCACAGTGCTTTTCCATCTAGCTGAGACTGCAAAGTATGAGCTTCCTATAGCCTGCTGCTGCACCATGAGCAGAGCACTGAGAAATATGGAAGGGATCGTACAGTTCCTTCCAAACTTCTCTTCAAGCACATGTCCTCAGAATATGGCTAACTTCCCATCTCTGGCATGAGAACTGCAGGGGTGTATCCATGAAGTTCTCAAAGGACTGGGGCCTATATCTCCATTTGCGCAGTAGAATAAAAAGAGTTAACAAGCATGGAGTTTCCATTCGTTTAACCATTGCAAAAGTGGCTGCCCAGCAACAAAGAAAGCATTCTATCATTGGCATACAGCTTACACATGTTATATGAATGAAACAAAGACAGGAGAAGCAGCTTAGTGCAAAGGAGAGTGCACTGGACTGGTATGCAGGATACCTCTATTCTGGGCTCCACCTCTTTGTGCTCCATTTGCCCTCACACCCTTTGTCTGTCTTGTCTGTTTAGAGTGTAAGTTCATTGGGACAGAGACTCTCTCTTAATACGTGTTTATACCAAGAGTGTCAAATCTACTCAGATGAGAGAGTTTAATTACTTGTTTAATTATGGCCCATGGCCAGGATATAAATTCAGAACTTCATATTCTCCTCAATCCACAGTGCATCTCTCACTGACATCAGTGAGAGAGGTTTGCGCAGAGATTAAGTGAAAGATACAGACAGCCTCTATGTAGTAACTAAACTTTTATTTATTAGCTATTTATTCAGCAACTTTTTGACATATTCAGCATCGTTCATTGAGATAATCAGCTCCCCTTTGGGCCGATGCTACTCCTGCCCTGTGTTTTTCTTCCTTCCCCTCCCTCCGGCTTCTCTTAAGTCTTTCGTTCTTCCTTCTGCTCTTCCCTCCCAGGAACTCCCAGCTCCCACCCTCTTTTCTGTTCCATCTATTAAAATGATCAGCAATGGAACAGTTAAGGTTGACAATGACATTTCTTCATCACTGGGCTTTAGAAATGCCACTCCAATGAAATTAACATGTTACACATGTTGATGTCATTGTTTCAGGCTCTCTGCAGACTCTGGCACTCAATGGTATGCTCCATTCACATTTGGAAGGTTATCTTCGCAGCCATGAAGGCTTGAAATTTATTGTTTTTTAATTAAAGCTTGGAATCTACATAATCCAAGTGTGTCATGTTGGCCACATAAATACTTTATGCAGGCTGCATCTGGCCTGTGGGCCATCTGTTTGACACCCTGAGTTTGCACAGTACCTAACAGAGTAGGGTCTCAATCTCAGTAGGGCCTCTTGGAGCTAATGTAATATAAATAATAATTATAATTCCATGAACAGAAAGGTACCTCTGCAGCAGACCCGGCGCTGTTGGAGGAGTCATTCCAAATTCCACGTATCTCTATTGGAAATAAATTAATAAAAATAAAATCAATAAATTGGGAATTTCAGTCAGTGTTTTACAGGTTGAATGAGACCCAATTGCCGGGCCTACATGTGAGCTGACTGCAAGTTTACTGACAGAGATTTACAAACATTTTTTGTTAAGTGGCACAAGAAGACCTGGGAAGTGCAGCTCCAACAGGACAACCAGCTCTTCTATGTTTGCCCATGCTCCTTATGTGGCTTATCCACCTTTTGAAAATGTGTTCTCTGACTTGCAGCTTAAGGCCCCCTACAATGTGTATTTAATATAAATTTTACGAAAAGCTAAGCTATTATTTTACCTTGTGAAGGTGGGGGGAGCCAATGGCACACAGGTAGTGCTAGATCTTAATTTATCCTGCCTAAAATGATTTATTTTGTACAACAGACTTCCAACTCTATTTACAATTTCATACAGGAGCATCAGCTAATGGTTAGAGCAGGGGAGGTAGAATCAGGATGTCATGGTCTCAAATGTCCTGGTGGAAAACTCTGCCTAAATACTTAGAACTTTATCTTCGTGGGCTCTAAATAGGTGCTAAGCTAAAACAGACTTTAGAAAAGAAATGTTATTCATTTAAATACCAAGACTGATCTGTGAAAGATCACAACTGAGTGGACCAGGTCAGTGTTCTCTTAAAAGAGAACTCCTATCTGCCTCCAACTGAGAAAAAAAGTTCACAGGATGGTTTAAACAGTGAATCCCCCATTTGGTAACTGTTCACATCACAGATATCCCTGGTTCCAGTAATTGCTCAATATCCGTGATGAACCCTGATCTAAAAGGTGTAACAATAGTGACCATGGCTCAACTGGTCCTAACACCCTGCCCTGAAAAGCCTTTCAAGATGTATCACTCACACTAAATGGGTTGTTTACTGCCTGGGCTGGACCATATGGTGATCCCCAGTGGGGGCATGTGGTTCCCCTCCCTGCTCGAGCAGGAGTGTTGTTTACCGGCTGTCCCGCAGAGACCCCAGGTGATGTGATGGCAGTGGAACTGGCTGCTTGGCTACTGGGAGCCACCAGGGCAAAGGCATCATCCAAGAGAGAGTGCATGGTCTGCCGGGCCTCTTCAATGGATGGCTGTGGAGGGATGTACTGAGAGGCTGGGTGGGGAGGCAAGCCTGGGTACTTCCCGAGATCAAGAGAAGAAGGTGTCTGTGGTTCTGCAGGCAGGTCAGGATCAGACTACAGAGAAGACAGAGAATGGAACCAGGAGTCAGAGAGACTTTTACATACGTAGTTTCAAGTCAGTGACATTTAACTTCTGAATAAGGATTAGAACAAGCTGGAAGCAACAGAGGAGAGAGACCTGGGTGTGTGGATTGATCACAGGATGACTATTAGCCACCAGTGGGACGCAGTTGTGAAAAAGGCAAGGCATTTTCAGTAGAGACAGAGAAGTGTTAATGCCACTGTACGAGGCCACTGGTGAGACCTCATCTGGAATACTGTGTACAATTTTGGTCACCCATGTTCAAGAAAGATGAAATCAAACCGGAGCAGATGCAGAGAAGGGCTACTAGGATGATCAGGAGAGAACTGACAGCCTATCTTATGAGAGGAGACCAGAAGAGCTTGGATTGTTTATCCTAGCAAAAAAAAAAGGCTGATCGGGGATATGATTGCTTTCTATAAATACATTGGGGGAGGGGTAAATATCCGGGAGGGGGAGGAGCTATTTAAGCTACAGGACAGTGTTGGCAGAAGAACAAATGGGTTGAACTGACTCCAAACAAATTCAGGCTGGAAATCAGAAGAAGGCTTCTAACCACCAGAGGGGTGAGGTTCTAGAACTGCCTCCTAATAGGAGTTGTGCCGGCAAACACGAGAGAACAGCACAAATTGATCAATGCGACTCTACGACAGCACTGCTGGTGATGGTAGGTGCCAGGGCTCATTTCCGGTTTTTGTCTTATAAAAGCTCATGCTTCAGAGCTTCAGCCAGCCACCTGCAGGAATCAGGAAGGGATTTCCTCCCGCTGCCCCCCATGAGAATTTGGTCGGGGGTTGGTCTCCTTCCTCCAAAGCATCATCCGGGGTGGACACAGCTGTAGATGAGACCCTGGATGGAGTGGGCCAGTGCTCTAAGGTGGCATCAAGCATTCTGTCTCTCAGGTGCTTGCTGGCTGGTTCTTGCTCACCTGTTCAGGGTCTAACTGATTGCCATGTATGGGGTCAGGAAGGAATTTCCCCCAAGGTCAGATTGCAGTGATCTTGGGGGTTTTTCACCTTACTTTGCAGCATGTGGGGGTGGGTCACTTGCCAGGATTATCTGGGTACATCTCACTTAATCATTTCCCTGCCACTGCGGGGGTCTCAGGCACTGGTGCACCTCAGTCCCTCCTATTCTCTCCCCGCAGCATAACAATCTAATCTGGGTGCTGTAACACTTTGGTCTCAATTCGGCTGTTGGGTTTAGTATGTGGGGTGGTGCTGGTGGCCTGTGACATACAGGAGGTCAGACTAGATGATCTGGTGGTGCCTTCTAACCTTAAATCCTATGACCATCGAAACCAAGTTGAGATTTAAGGCATCTGTGTGCATGTCAGCCAAACCGGTCCAGTTCTTCTACCAGAGAGTCATTTTAGTTCAACTGTTTCAGCCAATTTAAGCTTCCTCACTACATTACTAGGTGGGGAACAGCATACCACCTGATAGAGACTGAGCTGCACTAGAATGATGTGGTTTGTAAATGTATATGTATCTGAAATCACATAGTGAATGCTGACTCTTATCTAGAAGATGACAGTCTGAGCTAGCTCTCTCTAAATCAGGGGTGGGCAAACTTTTTGGCTGGAGGACCACACCTGGGTATGGAAATTGTATGGCGGGCCATGAATGCTCATGGTTCCCGGCCAATGGGAGCTGTGGGGGTGGCGCTTGGGGCAGGGGCAGCGTGTGGAGCCCTCTGGTGCCCCTATACATTGGAGCGGGGACACGCCGCTGCTTCTGGGAGCCACGCGGAGCCCCAGCACATGCGGAGCAGGGCAAGCCCCGGACCCTGCTCCCCATCAGGAGCTCGAGGGCCGATTAAAAACGTCTGAAGGGCTGGATGAGGCCCTCGGGCCGTAGTTTGCCCACCCCTGCTCTAAATGAAGTCTTTCTGAACCTTTGCAGCTCTACGGAGCGAGTTGAGTCTTTGTGTAACAACTGACCACGTTAGCTGAAATGTGAAACAATTATGGCTATCCTGAGCAACACAGGACAGGAGCTATTCAACAGCTAAGCGGTTAGCTGTGAGGAAGCTGAACTGAAGTGCATCGTCCTAAAGGGATTCACAACAGTGCCTGATGTAGCCAGCACAATTACTACATACGGTCTTACCTCAGGAGCATATTGCTCCTCAGTAACAGGAAGTTACGCAGCCTTGCAGTAGCAGACTTATTGTGTCAGCTCCTTCTTGCCACTGCATGCCGGCTGCAGTGTCACCTATCAAGCCACACCCCTCTATGTCACTGGGAGTTTAAAATGCTGAGGACCAACTCTCCACGGGTGCCGAAAGGGCTGAGTTTGCTATGTGACAAGTCTCAATTAAATAGCTGCGGACTAGAATTCATTCCAATATGGGTGACATTAAAATGATCATGGCGCATGTTTGAACGCCGATGAAGACCACAGAAAGAAACATTATGGTCCTTCACTACATTTTAAAAAATGGAAACTGTTTGAAACTGTCCAGAGGTTTTGAATGTTAGCAGCGTCTGAGTGAAGACTGATTAGTGGCCAAAGTGCGGGTGCACCAGTCCAGAAAGCACAATAAGTGCAGTTTACTACATGATATTATTAAACTTAAAAGTTCTTAGTTACTATTTTTAACATGGAAAGAAAGCTAATTTGCTAGATACTGTATGAAAATTATTTCAGTTATTTCTGCACTGATATCTAAGTTTAAAGAAAAGAAAATCTATCATTGAGGGACCTCAGTTTTTCACTACCTGAAAAACTAGAATAAAATTTCCTATAACATTTGGGATTATTTAATCACTGGTAATGTGGACTAGAATGTACTGAACTGACTGTGCTCAAAGGATCATGTAGCATGCACACGTTTTCATGTGATGGGTCTTTTCCAGGATTTATATTTTAGTTTCTAACGTTGCTCACTGGAGAATCCTTTTCTCATTTCATAGCATTTCCTATGATTACTGTTCCTAATGGCCCCATTTTCAATTCTCATTATATAGTTTATTGGGACTGATAAAAATGCTTTTCAGTGCTTCTGTTTTGAAGACCAAGCAACACCAGCACGAGTGGAAAATGACAGGTTTTACTATTTTACCCAAACATTCTGCATAGGAAGTTCTTGACTCACTCAGTTTCATCCAAATGGAATTAGCATATAAAGTAGCCACTCAGAGCATACCAGGAAAATAGGAGATTCACCTAAGTCACAGTTATCGTAAGAACTATCAGTGTATTCCTGTCATCTAAAAGACAAACATACAATATATGCAGAATTATTGACTCCTGGTGGTCTTTTGTATGTCCCATCACTGTCGGTGGTGATTAGCCTGTCCTTCTCAGCATCAATAGGGCTTCCATTTATCTGATGTCTCCGACGCTGCTTGGGAGAACGTTTTGCACGTGAACTAAAAAAAAAAGAGAGAGAAATAAAGACCAAGAGAAAGTTCAGCACCTTTTGTCTTACTAGAAATACAACTAGTTTTTATGGCTGGTTATGGATTGTCCTCAGTTCTTCTGTGCATCCTTTCAGGTATGACCCCCTGCTGCACATGAACATTTTGGAGAGTCCTCAGGCAAGGGACATCTCCTATGAAATATAGTGAAATATCTCAGTCATATGTAATTCTACATGAAAAATGCCAAAAATTATGTCATAAAGGAGGGATTTAAAACAAAAAGAGAAACGTACATTTGGTCATCCTTTGGCAAAGCATCAACATACTTCTGAGAATGACCTTGGTGACAAGGATGCTATCGCTACACACAGCCTGTGCGTGAGTGAATGAGTGTACAATTTTGCTTTGGAAGACAATTTTTCTACCTTGGCTGGCACCTAGAATATTTAATAAGTTCATATATTCTTCCAGTCTCCTTCAATCACAGTAGAGAGTATTGATTTACAATTCATATTTTTAGGATTTTTAAGAAATAAAACTACATAAAAAGTAAATCAATACTCCCTAATACAATTGAATGACAGAATCTGATAAGCAGTCAATCCTATTATAGTGCCTGTATGATGGAATGGAATTTTGAGTGCCCAGTTTGAGACACCTAGGATCTGATTTTTCAGTGTTCCTAGCATTATATAGCATTCTGTATGTTCAGAGCAGTCTCACCACTGACTTCAGTTGAAGCTGCAAGTGCTCTGGAATTCTGCAAATCAGACCCCAGGGTCTTAAGTTAGTCACCCAGAAAATGAGGAACTGACCACCAGTGAAAAGTTTGGTTTAACTGACTCGTCCATCACCATATAGGAACTCTGTGCTCTACTGGACACAGACTCTACTGCCATTTCCCCCCAGGTCTTGAGACCTTTTGTCCTGTCACCATCCCAGTCTTGTATCTTCCCACCCCAGCTCCTTGTTCCTGTCTTGTTTTCCTCAACCAGCAGTCTCCAGTGAGGCTCCACTCAGGCTTCTTATCCCAGTCCCAGTCTCCTTGCTTCACAAATACTAAGTCTCCCTTGTCCCAGTCTCACCCAGTCCATTCCCATTCTTCTTGCCAAGCCAGTCCCAGCTCAGTTTCCCTAACACCCGATATTCCTCATTCCAGACTTGCAGCATTCTAAATGATGGCATTATGGAGCTAACAAAGTAACCGTCAGACTGCAGAACAGAGATTACGCTGAGCTTTAAACTGATGTATGTAACGGCAGGTCTTCACTACCCGCCGGATCAGCAGGTAGTGATCGATCTATTGGGGATCCATTTATCGCGTCTCACCCATCGACTCCGGAACTCCAGCTCGCGAGAGGTGGAAGCGGAGTAGACAGGGGAGCAGCAGCGGTAGACTCGCCGCCGTCCTCACGGCCAGGTAAGTCGACCTAAGATACGCCGACTTCAGCTACACTATTCCCGTAGCTGAAGTTGCGTATCTTAGGTCGACCCCCCACAGTGTAGACCAGGGCTAAGTCAGCTGAAGGAAAGACACAGTGGAGGAAAAGTTTTGTTTGTTCTCAGTGTGAACGTGGTCCAGGCAGGACTGCATTTAGGGAACCTGGAACTCAAGAGAAAGAGCCCCCTGTGTCCATATACCCCACAGAAGACACAGAACAGACACTGTCTTAACATATAAGACCAGGAGGGAAGATCTGTGAGATGGGTTAAGTGCTGTGTGCATCTGGTTACCATGAAGGAATAAGGAAGAAGGGATTTTATTGTCTGGTATTTGCCGAGTTTTAAAGATAAATTTGAACTTTTGTATATCTTATCATTAGTTTTCATGGTCTCTTGACTGCATGTTTTTCTCTGTTTTGATACGAAAATAGTATTCTTTGCCATTTACTTTTTTTTTCTTATTCCTTAGTCTCTGTTAGTGCTCTTAAGTAAATTCAAACTTTGTTTCACCCTGGGTTTGTTACCTGTGATACTTAGTACGAATTGTGGTGGTGGTGTGGGGATAGTGTGTGATTAAGTAGTTCTGCTTCAGCCTGCTCCCAAAATTACGTTGCATTTAACAATTACACTAGAGGAATTAGACAGTTTCCATGTGATGTTATGCAGCTACTAAATGAAAAAGAGTGTGCAAAAGTAGCGGCACAAATAATAAACATCTCCTTAAAAATGGCTTTGGTATGTTTGGTTCCGCTATTGAGAAATGTCCATGAGAACCTGTAAAAAAAAATGCATGGCCCTCTGAATGCTGTTAAAAAAACCCAACCACCACCCAAAAAACCTCTGGCATGTACTGACTAGACCAAAACACCCAGAATAACCCCAACCCTTTCATCTCTCCAACCCAAAAGTTCTTTAGGGAACAAAATGATTCTAAGCTCTCCAAGTGCAGAAATACAGGCCTGATGCAGTTTGCAAGTCTTGACACTGATTCTAAAGGAGACTGAATCTTCCCCTTGCTCTCAGTCTGTACCTCTTCCTGGGTTCTATAAAAACAGTAGGCACGTTGCCTCCAGGGTCCAAGATCTTGTCAATCTGCATCTGCGCTTTGCGGTATATTTTATGCTGCTCTTTGGCGTCAACAACAATCACATCATCCACAACTGGAAATTCATAGTGGCCTTTGCGCTTGGCTCGAAGACGGATCTTATTGCGGTGATGCTCGATCTCAGACTTATGCCTCAGAGCTGTTTGTATCTTAAAGGAAGAAAAAGAGAAAACCATGAGATACACTTTTGCAAATAGAGCCTATTACTGCTGTGCAATAAAAAGGAGAGCCAGAGCTAAAGCAAGCAATTTGAAATTGGCACACAGGTCCTCCCTCAGTTATCTCGTCCTTTTGCGGGTAATAGACCCATAATCTCCCCAAGTAGATGTGCTATCAGACATGGTATAATCACTAACACAGCAGGTGAAATTAAAGACAAGTGGCAGAGTGTTTATAAAAGGCGTGATGGATAACAAAAAGTCCTGCCAGTTGCCATGAGAAACATTGCTCCATTAAAATTAGATTGCAACCAAGGGTGTACGTGGCATATGTCTGCCTGCACCCATCATAGGAGAGATTTGATAATTATAGCCAAAGTCTGTCTCTGATTCCCTTTTTAAAAAAAACCTCATAATACAAGGGGCAAGAACTTAAGGAGCTGCTTGAGGAGCACAGTTGGAAGAGGGAAGGAGGAGTGGAATGGTCCAGGGCATGGCAATAGGTTCTTCAGGTCACTAGTTTAAACGTAGACCAGTGCTTTTAGAGCTGGTCCAACCCCTACTGAAGTCAATGGGACTCTTTCCATTGATTACAGTAGATATTGGATCAGGCACTTAATGGCCACTGTGCTTGTGTTGGAACTGTGTTGAGGTGCACAAAAAGCACGAAAAATAAAACCCACTATAATCTTTTACAAAAGTATAAAAAAGCCATTAGACAAATGTTCATAGCAGGATTTTTCCTAGTAGTTAAATTTACATTTCCTGGACTTCCTTGTCTACAGGTATTAGATGTATTAATTTACTTTCCAACATATTATGTAAGGTACTCAACACAAAGGACGAATTGAGCTTTTAACCTAGAAGCAAGGGGAGGAGACGATCTTCAACCAAGTACAAAATGAGTTACTGAGCAGCAGCTGGGAGAGGCATGCAGAACTAGACCCAGATAGCCGAGTCATCTAGGTGTCACACAAATGTACAGAGCCACCACGCACTACACTATCTTAAAAATACCTCTTTGTTAATTTTGTTGGACTCTGCTACTCGGTCAGACAGTGCTGGGTTCTGAGCGGGAGGGGCTGCGATTGGCTGCATGGCAATCAACTGAATCTTGCTGGGGACCCGTCTACTTGCGTCTGAGGAACGAGACATCCTGTCCACATGCTCAAAGATAGAGGCTGAGGAGTGCTGCTCGTTTCCACTACTGGTCTGCGGAGGTCCTGAATTACCAGAACAAATAAAATAAAAGACAGTGTCATAGCTAGGATCAACTCAGTGAAATGTCTGGCCATACAAGATAACATGAAATGGTGTGCTACAACATTATGCCTTCTTTGCAGCTGCATTTAATTTGCCCTGGAGGTCTTCCATCCGCTGCAGATTTATTGCAGGCAGTTTACTCAGTAGTCGGCAGATTACTAAACTTTTTCATTTTTTCTCCTGACAGTGAACAATCATTCTTTATTTTTTTAAATCAAGTATTTGATATTTTACAAAGATAAAAATCTCAAAGTAGTTTTATCCCACCAAAAGCTATTCAGAATGCTCTAGTACGTACTACAAATTGCTATTGATAACATTACTTAAGAAGGCTCAGATTCCACAAATGGAGTTTTACAAGCCAATAAAAGACTTCGAACTACGAAATGCCATACTTTAACAGATAAGTGATAGCGAGTGCAATTTTTCAACTAAACAAAGATTTAAAAATCTGTCCAAAATCTAGTTTTAGAGGTAATTTTTACAAATTTAAGTTTTTTAATAGTCTGTTTTTTCTTACCAACAGAAAGTAAACAGTCTAGCATTAGGTGTTTAGCTGTACAAACAATGCTTTGCTCTGATACGTTGGGAAAATTAATTTCTACAACTACAATCCAAATATACTTAAGAGAGTCATTCTAGGGAACCAATGGACATTTGCTTGATAACGAGCTCATCAAATATCTTGTTACATTTTTGTACTAATTGGTAACATATGCAACTATACCACTTAGTCAGAACCTTTATAATTTTATCCATAACTTTCTTCACGGTGCCTATTCTATAAATGAAAATTTCAGAGAAAATGTCAATCTGAAATATGGTCAATTTAACGAAATTAATTAAAAGTAGTTTCAAGTACTACACCTGCCCCTATGTCCTCCTGCCAGTTTTTGTGGTTCTACAATAACATTTTTCTTTTTGAAAAAAATATGTTCCTCTCCCCACTGCTGCTGCATGAAAGACTCACAAACAAAGGAAGAAACTCACTAAAACTCACTATTCCTACAACAAATTCCATATGAAGGCACTGCTGTGCTTGTGGAAGCCCTAAGAAGTGAGTCAGGAGAACTCCGCATAGGTCCTGGGGGCTGCTCATGTGGAACAATTTGCAGGACTGAGGCCTAAATGACTGATTGTACAAATGAACTAGAGAAATAGACTATACAAAAAAGTTCTGTCAAATGCATTAATGGAACACATGGAAAAAACAAGAGAATTTTATTTTGCCTAATTTTTTTCAGCACCAATAATCGTAAGTATTATTTTTAATACAAATACAGAAAGTAGCATATTTTAAGACGATTGTGTCCTTTTAAGCACAAAAATAAAAGACAAAAATTAATTCCTTCTGTAAATACTAAATGGGGAAAAAAGTCTCTGAAATGATTATATTATTTCAATTGATCCATCACATCTGTAATTTGCTAACCTACAATTAAGAGAGTTAAACATTTTATTTAAATAATATTAAATATTAAAATGAATAGCAAATCTCCAATGGATATCTCATTGAGTTTATCTATGCTATTGACAACAACTTAGATGATTAAAAATAAATAATTTTTATCACCTAATTTACTTTTTACTATCTACGGTGTTTGTTTCCTTTCCTCTTGAACAATTTAAACACACTAATCAGTTTTTCCTGTTCACTGTCCATTCTAGTTACTTTCACTTTCAGCTTCTCACGTATTAAAACAATGCAGTGGCTTGGGTTCCAAGTGCAGCTGAGGAATGCTACTTTGTTAAAACAATTATTTCCCCTAGAACGTAACAAAAGACATTGAGCATTTGTATTGGTTTTAAGAATTTTGCAAAAGCTTGTCTTTTCAAAACCTAAGTTTCTTGTACAAATGTGATCTAAGCTCTCTAATTTTGTCCCCCTAATTTAACACAAAGCAAGTCCAAGTGCAGCTATTCCCTTCAATGGGCATCGTCCAAAGTCCACTGTAGTCAATGGGCAGTAGTAGGTACAGTAATGAAGCCACCAACCTATTTTCACATATGACACTGAATAGCCAACTGATAATTTTTAGTCCCAACAGACCTGGGCTGAGTAATAACTGTGAACAAGTGAAGGCTCATTATTCAATTATCAACCCCTTGAGCCATCCAGTCCCATGGAAGTAAAGACTTAAATTTACGAGTCACAATGATATCACTTAGGGCTAGGAGCTATCTAAAAATATATACTACATTAAACTGAACAGCTGACAGAGTTCAAAGCAGCATAAATATTGGCCATTTAAAAGATATTAACTATTCACATTCTGTTCAGGGAAGGAAGCCAAAAGGCAAAGAATAACAGAGATCACTTTAGCATACAATACTTCAGTCTTCAGAGGAACAGCCGTGTTAGTCTGTATTCGCAAAAAGAAAAGGAGTACTTGGTTAGTCTCTAAGGTGCCACAAGTACTCCTTTTCTTTTTGCGAATACTTCAGTCAAAATATCACAAATCACATAATTAAACAAAAAGCCTCAATTAGAAAAAATGCACTTGCTACTGGATAAACAAATTATCCTTTAATATAATTTGTGTTGTTGAGAATTCTTTCTGACAGTAAATTGCTCAAAACCAATCTTGGTTTTTAGACTCTGAGGACAAATCGACTCAAACTTCAGATACAATTAGTTAAGCTTTCTAAGACCTTTCTTCGCATTTGTACCACAAAACTGCCAGTTAAACAAAGGCTGTCAAACACTAGGATACTTACCCACTCTGTTTGCTCCTGACAGCATAAAGGAGAAAGCACAAAAAGATGACACCATAGTTACGAATAATTCAGCAGAAATGGCATTTAGAAAAACATATGATAAAAAGGCCGCTCTGGTGCTGAGTGAGATACATGATTGCCACGCCTTAGCTGTAGGAAAAGGAGGCTCAGACTGGAGTTTAGCAGCAGTAGACTACACCATTACAGTGGGGTCTGGTCTTGAACATTAAAAATAGTCCCCTTTATCCCTTGACCAGGAGGACCAATTACTGAGAAACGGCTTCTTCAGCCCCAGAATGGCAGAAAGGAAAAAGAGGACACATTTTGCACAGCTCTCCAGCAAATCCTTCCAGATAATTAAGATACAGTTAAAATTAGCTCTCGCTGTAACAACTTATAACACTCCCTAAAGCCTAACATGGAAACTCTGAGGAAGATGCGAAACAAGGTAACAAATAGGGAGTTTCCTAGCAGGAGGAAATGGGATAGTATTGAATGAGATGCAATAGGGCTGGATTCACATAGACTGGAACAAGTAGTAGTCCAACAGTCTTTCATAATATTAACTCCTCATAAAACACTAATATTATACTCATTTATTCAGGCATTAATTCTGGTCCTTACAGCAAACATAAGACATTACAACATACACCCTAGGCCACTAGGATGACATCTTACAAAATAAGAAGGGCACCTCGTGAAAGGTGTATGCAAGGGATCTGTATTGCATTCTAGTTTACTAGGAAGCACACTTTATTTTCTGGCAGCATTTGCCTACTTTGTGTTTTGTTTGCTTACATGTTACAACAGAATGTTCATCCAGGAGGTAAACCAGCCTCATCAAACCAGCCCTTTCAGAATCATTCAGTGTGCTGAGCACTGCGTAGGTAGAAGCATACACTGGGGAAAAACAGGTGCTTTGGAAGGGAACTAGTGATTGATATTATCATAGGGTATGTCTACACTAAGGAATAAGGTCGAATTTATAGAAGTCGGTTTTTTAGAAATCGGTTTTATATATACGAGTGTGTGTGTCCCCACAGAAAATGCTCTAAGTGCATTAAGTGCATTAACTCGGCGGAGCGCTTCCACAGTACCGAGGCTAGAGTCGACTTCCGGAGCGTTGCACTGTGGGTAGCTATCCCACAGTTCCCGCAGTCTCCGCTGCCCATTGGAATTCTGGGTTGAGATCCCAATGCCTGATGGGGCTAAAACATTGTCGCGGGTGGTTCTGGGTACATATCGTCAGGCCCCCGTTCCCTCCCTCCGTCCGTGAAAGCAAGGGCAGACAATCATTTCGCGCCTTTTTTCCTGAGTTACCTGTGCAGACGCCATACCACGGCAAGCATGGAGCCCGCTCAGGTAACCGTCACCCTATGTCTCCTGGGTGCTGGCAGACGCGGTACGGCTTTGCTGCACAGTAGCAGCAACCCATTGCCTTCTGGCAGCAGACGGTGCAATACGATTGGTAGTCGTCCTCGTCGTGTCCGAGGTGCTCCTGGCCACGTCGGCTGGGAGCGTCTGGGCAGACATGGGCGCAGGGACTAAATTTGGAGTGACTTGACCAGGTCATTCTCTTTAGTCCTGCAGTCAGTCCAATTGAACCGTCTTATGGTGAGCGGGCAGGCGATACGGACTGCTAGCAGTCGTACTGTACCATCTTCTGCCAGGCAGGCAAGAGATGAGGATTGCTAGCAGTCGTATTGTACCATCTTATGCCAGGCAGGCAAGAGATGAAGATGGCTAGCAGTCGTACTGTACCATCTTCTGCCGAGCAGCCATGAGATGTGGATGGCATGCAGTCCTTCTGCACCGTCTGCTGCCAGCCAAAGATGTAAAAGATAGATGGAGTGGGTCAGAACAAGAAATAGACCAGATTTGTTTTGTACTCATTTGCCTCCTCCCCTGTCTAGGGGACTCATTCCTCTAGGTCACACTGCAGTCACTCACAGAGAATGTGCAGCGAGGTAAATCTAGCCATGTATAAATCAGAGGCCAGGCTAACCTCCTTGTTCCAATAAGAACGATAACTTAGGTGCACCATTTCTTATTGGAACCCTCCGTGCAGTCCTGCCTGAAATACTCCTTGATGTACAGGCACCCCCTTTGTTGATTTTAGCTCCCTGAAGCCAACCCTGTAAGCCGTGTCGTCAGTCGCCCCTCCCTCCGTCAGAGCAACGGCAGACAATCGTTCCGCACCTTTTTTCTGTGCGGACGCCATACCAAGGCAAGCATGGAGGCTGCTCAGCTCACTTTGGCAATTAGGAGCACATTAAACACCACACGCATTATCCAGCAGTATATGCAGCACCAGAACCTGGCAACGCGATACCGGGCGAGGAGGCGATGTCAGCGCGGTCACGTGAGTGATCAGGACATGGACACAGATTTCTCTGAAAGCATGGGCACTGACAATGCATGCATCATGGTGCTAATGGGTCAGGTTCATGCTGTGGAACGCCGATTCTGGGCTCGGGAAACAAGCACAGACTGGTGGGACCGCATAGTGTTGCAGGTCTGGGACGATTCCCAGTGGCTGCGAAACTTTCGCATGCGTAAGGCCACTTTCATGGAACTTTGTGACTTGCTTTCCCCTGCCCTGAAGCGCATGAATACCAAGATGAGAGCAGCCCTCACAGTTGAGAAGCGAGTGGCGATAGCCCTGTGGAAGCTTGCAACGCCAGACAGCTACCGGTCAGTTGGGAATCAATTTGGAGTGGGCAAATCTACTGTGGGGGCTGCTGTGATGCAAGTAGCCCACGCAATCAAAGATCTGCTGATATCAAGGGTAGTGACCCTGGGAAATGTGCAGGTCATAGTGGATGGCTTTGCTGCAATGGGATTCCCTAACTGTGGTGGGGCTATAGACGGAACCCATATCCCTATCTTGGCACCAGAGCACCAAGCCGCCGAGTACATAAACCGCAAGGGGTACTTTTCGATAGTGCTGCAAGCTCTGGTGGATCACAAGGGACGTTTCACCAACATCAACGTGGGATGGCCGGGAAAGGTGCATGATGCTCGCATCTTCAGGAACTCTGGTCTGTTTCAAAAGCTGCAGGAAGGGACTTTATTCCCAGACCAGAAAATAACTGTTGGGGATGTTGAAATGCCTATATGTATCCTTGGGGACCCAGCCTACCCCTTAATGCCATGGCTCATGAAGCCGTACACAGGCAGCCTGGACAGTAGTCAGGAGCTGTTCAACTACAGGCTGAGCAAGTACAGAATGGTGGTAGAATGTGCATTTGGACGTTTAAAGGCGCGCTGGCGCAGTTTACTGACTCGTTTAGACCTCAGCGAAACCAATATTCCCACTGTTATTACTGCTTGCTGTGTGCTCCACAATATCTGTGAGAGTAAGGGGGAGACGTTTATGGCGGGGTGGGAGGTTGAGGCAAATCGCCTGGCTGCTGGTTGCGCGCAGCCAGACACCAGGGCGGTTAGAAGAGCACAGGAGGGCGCGGTACGCATCAGAGAAGCTTTGAAAACCAGTTTCATGACTGGCCAGGCTACGTTGTGAAAGTTCTGTTTGTTTCTCCTTGATGAAACCCCCCGCCCCTTGGTTCACTCTACTTCCCTGTAAGCTAACCACCCGCCCCTCCTCCCTTCAATCACCGCTTGCAGAGGCAATAAAGTCATTGTTGCTTCACATTCATGCATTCGTTATTCATTCATCACACAAATAGGGAGATGACTACCAAGGTAGCCCAGGAGGGGTGGTGGAGGAGGGAAGGAAAATGCCACACAGCACTTTAAGCACAGCACTTTAAAAGTTTACATCTTTAAAATTTATTGAATGACAGCCTTCTTTTTTTTGGGCAATCCTCTGTGGTGGAGTGGCTGGTTGGCCGGAGGCCCCCCCACCGCGTTCTTGGGCGTCTGGGTGTGGAGGCTATGGAACTTGGGGAGGAGGGCGGTTGGTTACAGAGGGGCAGCAGTGGCAGTCTGTGCTCCAGCTGCCTTTGCTGCAGCTCAACCATACACTGGAGCATACTGGTTTGGTCCTGCAGCAGCCTCAGCATTGAATCCTGCCTCCTCTCATCACGCTGCCGCCACATTTGAGCTTCAGCCCTGTCTTCAGCCCGCCACTTACTCTCTTCAGCCCGCCACTTACTCTCTTCAGCCCGCCACCTCTCCTCCCGGTCATTTTGTGCTTTCCTGCACTCTGACATTATTTGCCTCCACGCATTCGTCTGTGCTCTGTCAGTGTGGGAGGACAGCATGAGCTCGGAGAACATTTCATCGCAAGTGCATTTTTTTTTCTTTCTAAGCTTCACTAGCCTCTGGGAAGGAGAAGATCCTGTGATCATTGAAACACATGCAGCTGGTGGAGAAAAAAAAAGGGACAGCGGTATTTAAAAAGACACATTTTATAAAACAGTGGCTACACTCTTTCAGGGTAAACCTTGCTGTTAACATTACATACATAGCACATGTGCTTTCGTTACAAGGTCGCATTTTGCCTCCTACCACCGCGTGACTACCCCCTCAACCTTCCCCCCTCCCTGTGGCCAACAGCGGGGAACATTTCTGTTTAGCCACAGGCAAACAGCCCAGCAGGAATGGGCTCCTCTGAGTGTCCCCTGAAGAAAAGCACTCTGTTTCAACCAGGTGACCATGAATTATATCTCACTCTCCTGAGGATAACACAGAGAGATAAAGAACGGATGTTGTTTGAATGCCAGCAAACATACACTGCAATGCTTTGTTCTACAGTGATTCCCGAGTACGTGTTACTGGCCTGGAGTGGTAAAGTGTCCTACCATGAAGGACGCAATAAGGCTGCCCTCCCCAGAAACCTTTTGCAAAGGCTTTAGGACTACATCTAGGAGAACCGCAAATGCCAGGGCAAAGTAATCCTTTCACATGCTTGCTTTTAAACCATGTATAGTATTTTAAAAGGTACACTCACCAGAGGTCCCTTCTCCGCCTGCTGGGTCCAGGAGGCAGCCTTGGGTGGGTTCGGGGGGTACTGGCTCCAGGTCTAGGGTGAGAAACAGTTCCTGGCTGTCGGGAAAACCGGTTTCTCCGCTTGCTTGCTGTGAGCTATCTACAACCTCCTCCTCATCATCATCTTCTTCGTCCCCAAAACCTGCTTCCGTATTGCCTCCATCTCCATTGAAGGAATCAAACAACACGGCTGGGGTAGTGGTGGCTGAACCCCCTAAAATGGCATGCAGCTCACCATAGAAGCGGCATGTTTGGGGCTCTGACCCAGAGCGGCTGTTCGCCTCTCTGGTTTTCTGGTAGGCTTGCCTCAGCTCCTTCAGTTTCACGCGGCACTGCTTCGGGTCCCTGTTATGGCCTCTGTCCTTCATGCCCTGGGAGATTTTGACAAAGGTTTTGGCATTTCGAAAACTGGAACGGAGTTCTGATAGCACGGATTCCTCTCCCCAACCAGCAATCAGATCCCGTACCTCCCGTTCAGTCCATGCTGGAGCTCTTTTGCGATTCTGGGACTCCATCATGGTCACCTGTGCTGATGAGCTCTGCATGGTCACCTGCAGCTTGCCACGCTGGCCAAACAGGAAATGAGATTCAAAAGTTCGCGGTTCTTTTCCTGTCTACCTGGCCAGTGCATCTGAGTTGAGAGCGCTGTCCAGAGCGGTCAGAATGGAGCACTCTGGGATAGCTCCCGGAGGCCAATACCATCGAATTGTGTCCACAGTACCCCAAATTCGAGCCGGCAACGTCGATTTAAGCGCTAATCCACTTGTCAGGGGTGGAGTAAGGAAATCGATTTTAAGAGCCCTTTAAGTCGAAATAAAGGGCTTCATTGTGTGGACGGGTGCAGGTTTAAATCGATTTAACGCTGCTAAATTCGACCTAAAGTCCTAGTGTAGACCAGGGCATAAAGACCTCTTGCATCTTACTCATTATCACCTCTTCTCTGACACAATGGTAAACTGGGAAATGTATGCTATTAGCTCAAGTATATTGGCATTGCATTCCTCAATAGCCACCTCATGGAAAACTCTGAACACCATTCAACTTTTAGAGAGATCTGCCTGTGGTACTTCCAGTATTCCCTTCTCTCTTGTTTTACTACTACTAAGGACATTTGTACAAAACAGGATTGTAATGTATCTGGACCTCCACACTGGAGCTACTCTGATTGATGAGCTGAGGATCTGGTCCTAAAATCTCCAGTGAGAAGTAAGCAATATGAATAGAAGTGTTAGCTCTTAATCAAAATCCTGTTTTCATGCAAACATTTTAAATACTTTAAAATGCGGGTAAAATGGAATAAAAATATGACAGGGGTGAGGTAAATAACATGCAGTATTTTCCATGAGATGCCAACAAGTCTTTACCAAAACTCGTGCTAATAATAAGGCATCTTGACTTCCTAAATTATACCATGCACAAGTACCACACTGATTTTTAAACTCTTAACTTGCCACCCTATTTTTAAATCTCACTTTTTCAAAGTCACAGTTAAAGGCATATGCCCCCACAGTGTCAAGTCCTGTTGTGATCTCCTTACTCCTGTAATTTCCTGCAAGATTTCTACCAACAGAGTCATAATGACGTGATTAGAAACATATTTGCTGGATGAGAGAACAGAGGGTGATTGGTGTTATATCACTTGGATCAGATGCATGCCTGAATGAAAGAAACATGTAGATCTCCAACTGCAACATATGAAAAGAGAAAATAAAGAGAGGGAAAAAATGGAGGAGAACCAAAACAAGAAGATCCAATAGACAAAAATTACTTTTTAGAAAATAGCAGCACTGAAATGTATCTCAGTTATGCCCTACCAAAACACTGCAGCAAGAGACTGAAGAAAAAAATGTAACAAACCACTCTTTGGAGCTCTGCGTGGTTTGCCCTCATTGGCAGTGGTTGATGGTCTTGCGGTTTCTTCCCCTGTCTCTCTCCCACTGGACTGTTCACTCGCTGTGGAGTCAGCATCTGAAGGGGAAACTCTGCAGCCATAAAAAAAGAAGATATAAAAAAAGATGAATGAAATGTTAGACGGGTTTATAAAGGGCTATAGCCAGCAGGTACAAGGAGATCCCATAAGAACATATGTTGGTAGGACTTTTAAAGTTCTTTTGATAAAGAACTTTGTCTTATAATACATAACTGATTACCTTTGTCATGAATGTGGGAATTGCAAAATTGTGGCAATGCTGTGCCCCGTGACTTCACTCATACACATGACAGGATTGTTAAGTAACCTGTTTTTACTTTTAAAAAGGTAATCTTAATTGTAACAGAAAGCCCTTCACATTAGCAACTAGCAGGATTACTTTTCAGGCAGAAAAGTCATCTGTTACTTCAAAAGTAATATGACTAAATGTGTAGTTAGTATCAGAGTATGAAGTTACCAAGTCCAGCTACTAAAGTAACTCTGAAAGTAAGTCCACACTGATAGTTTTGCTAACTATTTACGCCTACACTCAGCCAGGACTATTAATATTTTATTTACTCAATACAGTACAAAACAAAAGAAAGATACAATCCCTTGGTTTCTACACATCGTAGACATAGCTTGTCTATGCAGAAACACATTAGCATTATTGTTATCCCATCCTTCCTCCTCAGCACCTCTGTTTACTTGTTTGTCTTAGATTTAGATTGTAAACTAACTGGGGCAAAGATTGTGTCATCTACATGGCTGTTCAGTATCTAGTAAAATGGGGCCTCCATCTATTTGGGCATTCAGGAGCTGCAGGAATACAAATAACCTACAATTTCTTATATCATTCAATTTAATTAGCTCATGGTAGGTATATATAGAACAATTAAAGGCAATCTTGTGGTTTTCCCCACCAGCCTCTGAATTGCATGCGTATTTCAGCTGACAGCTATTCAAAAAACAGAATACAAAACAATAACGGGACAAAATACACTAGATGCAACTGATTCTAAATTCAGCACTTCAGCAGAGGATTAGCTGATGCGATAGTATGCATATTGGATATATAATCTTGTAAACATTCATAGTCTGTCTGTGCACTAATGCAATGGTTTCATGAAGCGGACTAGTTGGTCCACCAACCTTGCTAAGTGCCAGATTTGGCAGATATTTGATCCAGTTACTAAAGCCTTCAACTAAAGGTCAGCCTTCCCTAGAGAGTGCACACTAAGATAAGTGCTGCTCAGGCAGATGAGTTCATCAAAAGTTCAACCCACCACATGCACTTGTTAGCGTTCCTAACTCAACTTCCCTCACCCTATGCATACTGCCAGTCTATCTATAGAACTCTATACAAATTCTCTTCCTGCAAAAGTAGTATATTGGTTATTCAAATCCCAATACAAAATACTCCTGGAAAAAAGAGAATCACTATAGTATGTACAAACCTTCCTCACTACATAATCTTTTTTATAGACAGAAGAGCTCCACAAACAGGAAAGTGAGAGCTGAGCTCTCTCTGTTTGAGCACCTCTTTGTCAGAACATAAGAATGCCCTTGCTAAGTCAACACCAATGGTCCATTTAGTTCAGCATCCTGTCTTCCGACAGTGGCTGGGGGCAGATGGTAGGGAGGGAATGAACAGAACAGGGTATTTATTGAGTGATCCATTCCCTGTTGTCCACTACTCCCAGCTTGGGGCAGGCAGAGGCTTAGGTACGCCCAGATCATAGGGTTGCATCCCTGACCATCTTGGTTAAGAACTAATCTAATTCTTTTTTGAACCCAGTTATACTTTTGACCTTCACAACATCCCCTGGCAACAAATTCCACAGGTTGACCGTGTGTTGTGTGAAGAACTACTTCCTTATATTTGTTTTAAATCTGCTGCCTATTAATTTCATTGGGAGACCTCTGGTTCTTGTGTTATGTGAAAGGGTAAATAACACTTCCTTATTTACTTTCTCCACCACCATTTATGATTTTATAGACATCTATCATATCCCCCTTGTCTCTTTTCTAAGATGAACAGTCTCACACTTTAATCTCTCCTCTTATGGAAGCTGTTCCAGACCCTTAATCATTTTTGTTGACCTTCTCTGTAGTTTTTCCAATTCTAATAAATCTTTTTTGAGATGGGGTGACTAGAACTGCATGCAGTATTCAAAGATGGATTTATAGGGTGGCATTATGATATTTTTCTGTCTTATTATGTATCCCAGGGATCGGCAACCTTTGGCACGCGGCCCATCAGGGAAATCCGCTGGCGGGCCGGGACGGTTTGTTTACCTGCAGTATCCACAGGTTTGTCCGATCGCAGTTCCCACTGGCCGCAGTTCGCCGTTCCAGGCCAACGGGGGCTCTAGAAAGCAGCGTGGGCCGAGGGATATGCTGGCTGCTGCTTTCCGCAGCCCCTATTGGCCTGGAACGGTGAACTGTGGCCAGTGGGAGCTGCGATTGGCCGAACCTGCAGACGCTGCAGGTACACAAACCGTCCCAGACCGCCAGCAGATTTCCCTGATAGGCCATGTGCCAAAGGTTGCTGATCCCTGATCTCTCTCTTTCCTAATGGTTCCTTACATTCTGTTAGCTTTTTTTACTGTCTTTGCACCAGAGAACCATCGCTGGTGACTCCACGATCTCTTTCTTGAGTGGAAACAGCTAATTTAGACCCCATCACTTTGTCTGTATAGTTGGGATTATGTTTTCCAATGTGTATTACTTTTCATTTATCAACACTGAATATTTTGTTGCCCAGTCACCCAGTTTTGTGAGATCCCTTTGTAACTCTTTGCAGTCGCTTTGGACTTACCTGTCTTGAGTAATTTCATATTGTATGCAAACTTTGCCACCTCACTGTTTCCCCGTTTTTCCAAGATCATTTATGTATACGTTGAACAGAACTGGTCCCAGTAAAGATCCTTGGGGGACCCTGCTATTTGCTACTCGACACTACGAAAACTGACTATTTATTCCTACTCTTTGTTTCCCATCTTTTAACTAGTTACTGATTTATGAGAGGACCTTCCCTCTTATTCCATGACTACTTAGTTTCCTTAAGAGCTTTTGATAAGGGACTTTGTTAAATGCATTCTGAATGTCCAAGTACAACATATCCACTGGATCACCCTTGTCCACATTTGTTGATACTTTAAAATAATTCTAATAGATTGGTGAGGCATGATTTCCCTTTGCAAAAGCCATGTTGACTCTTCCTTAACATATTGTTTTCATCTATATAGCTAATAATTCTGTTCTTTGCTATAGTTTCAACCAATTTGTCTGATACTGAAATTAGGTTTACTGGTCTGTAATTGCCATGATGGCTTCTGAAGCATTTTTAAAAAGTCAGCATTACATTAACTATCCTCCAAGCATCTGGCACAGAGGCTGATTTAAACCACCAGTTACACACCTCAGTTAGTAATTCTAAAATTTCATATTTGAGTTCCTTCAGAACTCTTGGGTGAATACCATCTAGTACAGGTGACTTACTACTATTTAATCTATCAATTTGTTCCAAAACCTCCTCTACTGACACTTCAATCTGGGACAGTTCCTTAGATCTGACACCTAAACAGAATGGCTCAGGTGTGGGAATCTCCCTCATATCTTCTGCAGTGAAGACTGATGAAAAGAATTCATTTAGCTTCCCCACAATGGCCCTTCCTTGAGTACTGCATTAGCACTTTGATGGTCGAGTAGCTCCACTGGATTTTTTGGCAGGCTTCCTGCTTCTGATGTACTTAAAAATGTTTTTGCTGGTAGTTTTCATGTCATCTGTTAGCTGCTCTTCAAATTCTTTCTTGGCTCACCTATTTATACTTTTATACTAGACTTGCCAGAGTTTATGCTCCTTACTATTTTCCTCAGTAGGATTTGATTTCCAAATTTTGAAGGATGTCTTTTTGTCTCTAAGCACCTCTTCTATTCTGTTGTTTAGCCAGGGGGGCATTTTTTTGGTCCTCTTGCTGTATTTTTTATTTGGGGGGTTATGTTTAGTTTGAGCCTCTATCATGGTGTTTTTAAAAGCTTCCATGAAGCTTGCAGGCATTTCACTCTTATGACAGTTCCTTTTCATTCCTGTTTAACTAATTTCCTCATTTTCCTCATTCTGTGCCTTTGTTCTACCTCCCACTCTTCGTCTTTTCTATTTAGATTTTTAGTAAATATGTATTTTATGGTAGCATACAAATGCCTTATTAGGGATTGGGGCTCCATTTTGCTGGGTGCTGTTGTAAGATGTTCAGGGCAGGGAATGTCCCTTATTATGCATTTGTACCTTGCATAGCACAAAAGGACCCTGATTTCAGTTGGGGCCTCTAGGTGCTACTTGAATAAATAAATAGTTTATATATCATAAGTCTCTTCCATTTGATCAGCCCATCATGTCAGCCTCCTCTGCCCACTAATTAAATTTTCAAACAAGCACCTTTGTGCTTTCTCCCATGTTGCCCCTCATACTTATAGTAGCTCCCCGTAAACATCAACAAAACTACTTTATTATCCTCCTTCAAAACCCTCCTCTGCCATGATGCCTACAAAAAAAACCCTTGACAACAGTCAGGCTCGTGGCGTGCTGAGACCACAGGCCTATCATGTTGACCAACACTGGTTTATTGTTCTCTTCTAGCTTCCCACCTGTCTGTATCCATTTGCTATCTCTTTTTTTATGCATAGATTGTAAACTCTTTGGGGCCCAAATCATCTTTTTGTTGTGTCTGTACAGTACCTAGTACAATAGGGTCCTAGTCCATGACTCAGTATTTCAGTAAATACAAATAACAAATATGAATATTCACCATACCGTTTTGTACAGCATTATATTGAATCAGATTCTGTTTTATTCTGTACATACCCACAAAACCAAAGAACTGAAGGAATGATCCATAAAATATAAATCTGTAATGTGTCCGTCTTTCCCTCCCGCAGGGAGAAAATGTTTTAAACGTCTCACTGGCAGCTGCACATCAACCTATTATGAAGTGACTCCACAGCTGAGCCTACATGGAGATTGCACTTCAAGCAGGGGGGGAAATGCCCACATTTCAAATTTGGCATAATGATTTTTTAAGTAAAATATTTACTAACTTATCCAGAGGAAACATTTGAAAAAGCTTCTTTTTGAAAATTTACCATGTTTTCCTTTGAGTCCTGCTAAAACCCTCAGACACCACAGAGCTCTCAAACTCCAAACTACTCTCTCTCTTTTCACACACTTACACATTCTGATAATCTCTCTGACACAGGCCACTTTTGAAATTTTAAAATGAAACACATGAACTCATCTCTCTCATTTAGAATAATCTAATTGATCTGAGCCAATATTAGCTGACAGAAGTGACAAATTCCTTCAACTGCTTCTGTTTTCTGGGATGCTGCTAGCCTCGGTCCCTGACTCACTAGCTCTACTCCTTACAAAGCCCATGGGGAGGCAGGGAATATGGGGGATGGGCTCTGGAGAAGCCCATGTGTGGCAGCAAGGGTGTCAGGAGGCCAGAAGAGTGAATGAAGCTCTGAGGTGTATGAGGGATTGAGTGGAGAGGTGTGGCGATTTATAGGGGTGAGTTGGGGTGCAGCGATCTGACACTGAGCAGGGAGAGTTAAGTGGGAAGGAAAAGGGGATGCCCATCCTCTGCTTTCTGGCACACCATGCTGCGGAGAACCAGAGGAGTCAAGTGCTTCTGTGCAGAGGCAATGATATACCAGGGGTTCCCCACAGTTCTGCCAGTGCAATGCACTAGGGAGTCCAGGCAGCAGCAGATGAAGAGCCCTTCAAGTGCTGACAAGTCAGTGCAGAGGCAGCGTGCTGCTTAGACCCCCAAAGCACCACCTGTATGCCCCTCATTCTTCCCAGCAAGCCTCTCCACCCAAAATATTCTCTCCACACGCACCCCACACTCCCTCTCCACATCCTCACCCACCATCTCTCTTGGTTTCCCCCTGTCATAATGCAGCAGCACTGTGGGCAGCCAAGGTGGGATCAGCAACCATGCTGGGGGACACAGCAAGGGACAAATGGCTGTGTGTGTTGGGGGGCATCAGGGTTGCAAACAGGGATGGTGAAGAAGGGGTGGGAGTGAGCAGAGATGTGAAGGGGAGAGGAGGAAGAACTGGTGGAAAGTGCAGCGGAGAGGAGCTCTGTTCTGCTGAGCCACTTGTGGTTCATCATACCATGGCTCCTCGTCTCTGCTTCATTTCTTCCCATCAGGCCCCACCCAGCTCTGGCCCATTTGTCCCACATTTCCCTCTCACAGTCCAAATTTCTGTATGCCCCCACAGCCCAATCAACTGTCATGCCTGGCTACACCCCTGCACACCACTCAGTACTCTCCCGGCAATGCCACACTCCTTTCCCTCACAGACTTCCTCAATGCCCCCCCCCACCCCCTGCACTCTTCCTAGGCACCCACTTACAGTAATGATACAATCCTACACCCCACGTCCTCACACAGCCCCGCTCCTCCATATGCACCTCCTACCCATCATCTTCATCCATCACACACCCTGCTAATTCTCAACCACATTCAGCTTTTAAATACTGATATGCATCAACACTGATAAATGTGGTAAGGGAATAGGGTAGCATCAGCTCAGGGACTTGGGTGTGGAAGCACGGTGAGGAGTGAGGCTGTAGAAGTTATGGGTGCCAAAATTGCAAACACTTGATATAGGTGGTTTCATAAAGCACCAGTGATTTTCATTCAATCAGCACATTTGTGAGCGAGGAAGCCACCCGTCTTCCACAAACTAATATCCAGTCTCTTCTGCAAAGCTGCAACATATCTCAGTGTCCTGCTTTGGTGAGAACGATTCCGACAGCAGCTCTAGTGAAGTTTAGTTATGTGACATACACATATTCAGGAGAATATCAGAGTACCGCATTCCTTCCTCAGTATGCTGCACAAGACAGAGAGAACTGGGCTCGTAGGAGACCTTCCTCATCACAATACTCAAGATAATTAATAGCTCTATGAGAGAGGAAGATGGATGGCTTCAGTCATCACAAATGCCACAGCACTAATATCTCTAACTCACTGTCTCAGCTACACACCCTTTCTCCCCACAGGCCTGATTCTCTCTGGCTCTGGCAATGCAATGAGTAGTGGATGAATGATGATGTCATTCAGCCCTTGCTGACGGTCAGGAAATTCTAAGTGAAAGGTGATATGTTGTTCTCAACTTGCTTAGCTGTGGACCTTTTTGCCTGACATCAGTTTGAGGAGAGTGTTGGACATTTAGCAGATAGGTAACACAGTGATGGGCACAGAAAAGAGTGTCGTCTTTGAGTTTTGCAGCTTTTGTTGATTTGTGGGAATTTTAGTCTGACTTACATATAATAATTGCAACTAGTATCACTAATAGGATTTCTTAATCACCCATTCCCCTACTAACCACAAGCAATTTCAAAATTCAATGCATTAAAAGCAATACACTTAACATTACCCCATAATAGGTAATGCTCTGATTCTGCCCAACCTACACCCTGCCCAAGATATCCCATTTAACTGAAAATGCTGCAATTAAAAGCCAAAAAAAAAAAAAAAAAAAAAAAAAGCAGCCTTGCAATGGCGCCTATAAAGTAGCTAGACGTAAGCTCTGATGAACTGCTAGAAAAAGCAGTTCCAAAGTCGAGGATCCTTCACTGAAAATGCTTTGCAGTTTACAATACCACTTTGCATTTAATTAACCGTAATCTAGCCAACACTACTTCTCTTCAGATGAACTAACCTCCCTCTGTGTCGAACATTCTTTGAAGGCTTTGAAGCGGTCTTTGATTTGGGGCTTGGCACATCTCCATTTTCAGAAGGGGTAGTGTCCTTAATAGGTCCTGGAAGAGGAGCTGGCTCATGAATGATCAGGATGTCATCTTTGTTGTGCTGGCCCAGATGCTGCTTAGCAAAATCAAACCCCTTCACACTGGGGGCTTGTAGCTGTAATGAAAGAATAAAGACCAAACAAAAAATATTAGAAGACACAGTGTGAAAGCTTAATGTCAGACTGTTGTTCAGAGTTGTAACCAATGATCTTTAGGATGCTGACCAGAAAACAGGTTCCCAGGGTGAGTGGGAAAGCGCTGTAAAAAGAAAAAGAAAAACTATATCTGCAAACATGTTTTCAGATTATATATATTTTAAGATACAAAGGCAACAGCTCCAGGGGAGAGAAGGCATTATGTTGCTACCACACAGACAACTAATTCCTTAGATTTAATAATTACAATAATACCCGTCATTTTCATTGGGTTTTCCATCTGAGGATCGCAAAACACTGCACAAACTTTACAAGTGTCTCTCAGTACCTAAGAGATACGGAAGGATTATTGTTCCCATTTTACAGATGAGGAGACTGAGGCAGAGAGATACAGAGGACTGTAGAAACTGCCATACCAGATCAGATCCAAGACTATCCTTCCTTACCCATTTGTATAGTATTACTAAATTACAACAGATGACTGTTTTGGCTGGGAAGCGGTGCTCTGAAGGACCAATCCTCACCAGGACCACAAAGCCAAAGTGCAGGTGCAATCAGATCACTGTTACTGATGGGATAGTACTGTGCTTTAAGCAACAGCAATCCCGGTGGGAAAGCAGGAAAGGAGTTACAGGGCCTCAGGAAACCATAAGATTAAAAATTCTTTAACTACCTATACTAGGCTTCACTCTGGATGCGGGGAAAAAAGTTTGTCAAGTTCTGCTAATCTAAAGACGTTATGGCCCTCACATCATTATTTAGGTAACACTCCTACAGGATTTAATAGGAATTTTATCTGAGTAAGGAGTTCAAAATTGGGCCTTAATAGTCTAAACAACATTTATAAAATAACTAACTTACTTTAATAATATTTGTTTTTGGCTCTTTCAACTTAATCAAATTATGAGAATGAGAAGTTCACCTGCTAATTTTCCATACCTTGAAATAATCAGAAACTGTTCCATTCTAATTTTGTACACATTTTTTTTTAAAAATTGCTTTTCTTTAGGTCACATTTAATTAAAAAGTCTGGAAGCTGAAAGTAAGAAAAACCTTTGACAATTCCGGTTTGCACAGCAAACACACACATATGATGGCTGCATAACAAACACACCCACCACTCTGTTTGTTCCCAAAATAGGTTTGAAGAGAAACCGAAAGGTGTGTCTGAGTATGCTGACGGGTGCATCTAGTTCTAAATGTTTAAATGAGCCCCCTTTCATTAAGCCTAGCATGTAGTTTCCAACTACAAAAAGGCTGATAAAATGCCAAAACAAGTCTGCCTATGGAACATTTTGAGATGGTCAAAATATTTTCCAAAGGTTCTAGAAGAGTATGTTGAAGAAGTGTGCACTGTCTGCTTGATCCAGCAGATGGTGATAGAAGCCCTACTGTTGAAAAGATTCCTTGACAAGGGCATATATAACACATGCCCAATCATGTCTTTTTGGGTACATTTTGCATAAGAGGAGAAAACTTACTAGTTTACTAGATATTTTGGATTTCCTCAATTTACCCCTCCCACACACACTTCTCCCCTGCAAGGTGAAAGAGGGCAGCATTCAGCATTATGGGCCAGATCCAGAAATGAATAAATCACAGATCTATTGACTTCAACTGAGCTATGTTGATTTATACCAGCTGAGGATCTAGTGCTGTTTCTCCACGTTTGTTGACTTCCGTGCCCACAATCCCAGCCACGTATCTGAACCTCTCCCCCACAACACATCCCCCTCTTCTGCACACAATCTTATTGACTTTAAAAATATATATATATATAAAAGACCAATGTCTGACATGATCTTCCTCTTTTCCCTTTCTCCTCCACTTCCCCACCCCCTTTCATCTTCTTCAACACCCTTTCCTCCAACCCACTCACTTGCTCACTAGACCCCATCTACTCCTGGCAACTATCTGCCCTCCCCCCAATCCCTACTCTCACCCACTCCCTATCACTCCTCCACAAGGTCTGACTCTTTTTCTGGTCTGTTCCCCCACGAGCAGAACACCCGCCCTAACCCCAAAAATATGGCTCCATCTTCCTTCTGCCCTTTTTCTTTACATTTATGCAGTGTGCCATTTATAATTGCTATCTCAAGTTTTTCCCCTCCAACTCCATCCTTCCTCCTTCATTCCACCAAAAACACACTCACCTGAGGTCTTTTGCAGCCTCTTCCTAAATCTCAGATCGTCTACTCCATCCCCATCCTCCTTGGCTTCAGTAGTAACAAAAACAGCAGAGACCACACCATCCTTCTTAAACTCTTCTCCTCCCTTGGTTTTCACAACCCCGTCCTTTTCTAGTTCTCTTCAATCCTTTCTGATCATTCTTTCAGTGTTTCTTTTGGTATTGGGTGGGGGTGGAGTGGAGGAGGAGGAGAGAGAATCTTCTCCCTTTACACTCTGGATGATCTTATCCACTCACGTGGCTTCAACTAGCAATGGCCAATTACTTAAAAATTACCAGTGACTTAGGAAATGTCAGAATTAAGGTTGCCCCTGAAGAGTTAATTCAGACCCTTTGTACATATACAATTTTTAATTATATGATCACATATTATTTTCCCCCAGATCCCCTGCCTCATTCAGTACACAGGATGGACTGTTCTCCAAGGATGAATCAGAACTGTGTAGTGCAAGAGGCTGTTATCTGCCTCCTCTGTTGCAGAAGATAGAAGGTGTCTAGTGAATGAGCCAGGAATGCAGAGAAAGGGAGGCTGTTATCTTCCATGTGGATCTGCCACTAAAGGAGAATGAGATATGCACTTTGCCGGTGGTTTCAGAGTCACTTGCTGACAGCAGAGGAATGGTGACTCAGGAATATCTAGTTCCATTCCAGGTTTTGGAGGGGCATGTGGTCTCCTGCCACACACCACTCCGCCCTGTTTCTCCCACGTCTGACCACTCTGGTTCCTCATCAAACGTCAGTCCCAATCTTCCTGTTCCCAGTCTCAATCTTCTTGCCCAGTCACTCCCTGTCTCCCCTCCCTAGGGTTCCCATTTCCAGTCTATTCCCTCTGCTGCCCTCCCAGGTCCATCTTTTATCCCTTCTGCATTCCCAGGCAGCAGGTTTCTCTTCCTCCCTGTCTGGGTGCCAGCAGAGGGAGCACTGAGAGCACAGGAGAGATGGGATATCCCTGGTCTCACTTCTGGTGCCTGACCCCACAGCCCTATCCATTGCAAGGAGAGTTGTGCTCAGCCTCTGCAACCTTGGGATAGAGTATGTTCAGTACAGATGGAATCTTCTGATAATTTTGCCCCCAAACTCGACTAAAAAGCCTAATGTGCAAACTGCAATTTTTCTAAGGTTTACAACTTGGTTGCATTTTTCAACAGAAGACATATCCCTGGCAGAAATTCCACCCTCCTGCCAAATTTTGAGCCCTTGTTCCAAAGCACAGAGGCTCTAGATCTCCTCAACAAAACAGTTCCGACACGGTTTTAGTAATATGTGCAGAACAATGTATTTTTCCTTAATCTCATTCTTTTAAAATAGCAGAACCCTTTTTGTTGAAACTTCCCAAAATGATTCAGCCTGAAACAGACACCAAACATGGGAAATTTCAGCCAAAAGTTTAGCAAAGTTATAAGCACTGAAAACAGGAAGTGTCAGGCAACTTTTACTACAGCTGGCTAGGAGCTACCGGCTCTGCCTACTATATATCTGTATCTATCTATAAAATCTGAAGTTAGTCTGGCTTTACTAAAGGTGGTCCTTCATGCAACTCCTACCATTTGACCTAAGCTGTTCTCAAAACATACTCGCTGCTCAATATTTTTATTAAAAATAGAAAAACTAGTGTATTTTTGGATACAGACACAATGACCATAGACTCCGATTTTGTAAAAAAAAAAAAACAAAAACAAAAATCCCCCAAACAAACAAAAAAACCACACTTCTACATTTCTATGATCTTCATTCTTTTGACCTCATGATTCTTCTTAAAAATGATACTGGCCAAAATCACATTCTTGGTGACAAGTGTCAAAAGGACATTGCAACACAAGTCCATATTCAGCAAAGCAAGATGGTCATAACACTGAGATGCAGTGGAATAAATAACATCAGCGTAGTTCAAGACTGAAAAGGCCTTGAGGCCTTCCTGTATTTGTTTTCATGTGCGACACAGACTACTTTCATCTTTTTTTTTTTTTGGTAATAAAAAGTGATAAGCTGTAGCAGGCTTACCTGATTATACCATCTGTGTTCATCTCTGAATAGAGGTAACCAGAATCCCATGGGTAGATCAGTCATTTTATTCCTCACACACCAGTGATGGAAATTGTGGGGGTAGGAATGGAAGAGACCGAACTATTACACCTCTTTGAAGAAAACACATTTGTTCTGGTATATCTGTCTGTCCTGGCACTGAAATAAAACCTTTCAGCTTTATTTTATTGCCCTCTCAGCCTGTGCCTAAGACTGCACAAAATCAGTACTTTGAAAATCTCAGGTTAGGTTCTCTTAGGGGGATGCTTAATTTTACGTTGTAAAAAACTCAATTTTTAAAGCCAAGTTTCTAAATGGCAAAACAAAAAGCAGTTACAAAATTCAGTGAAAAGTACTGTCACACCTTCAATAAAGAGAATGAGCTAACCCATTGTTACGGCAGCTGTTGTTCAGTACAAGGTAATATCTATTGAAATTGAGAGTCAAGATGTTTAAAAAACTGGTGCCTCAGGTTAGCCTCTGAAGTCTATATTTAGACACCAAATTCAATGGGAGCTCTTAGGTGACTGACATTTTTGAAAAATTAGACCATTTATTCAGGTGCCTAAATATGGATTTAAAGAGACTAGCATGAGGATTCCATTTTTGAAAATCTTGGCTGAGACATTCAAGAATGTTCATCCAATCAAGGGGGAGAAGACTGGCTGAAAATCATTTGACGCTTCTAACATAGACCATGTGTTTGCCAATATACTGTATCCCTAGGTAAAGGCACAACATGAATGAGAC